TAGATAATCTTAAAAAATCAGTATGTGCAATATATAGAACCATGTTCCTTACAGCAATGACCATTATATATTATGCTCTAGGAGTTCTCGGTTAAAACAGTGGAATTCTGGAAGTTTTATTAATTTTAAACAATTGAGGAGAATCGGTTAAGTATTTTTGTCACAGCGCTACAGGTCGCAATCCCGCAACCACTTGTTACAAGCGCAATACAGGTTGCCTGGATTTCTTCGATAGTGAAAATATGTGATGGTGGCGTCATCCTTCAGTTGATTGTCTAACTAGCACGCGATGGCGCTAGGACTTGAACTGACAACCCGCGATTTGTGCCCACGACCCACGATTGTCAAATCAAAGATTCTGTCAAAATTTCCTAACCTAAGAATAAGAACGAAAAATATTTCCAAGAAGATAACTATTTTCTCGAAAAATGAGGCACGCAACCTTTATAGCTAGAACAGTTCTAGTTCACAACAATGATGTGGAAGCAGCTTGCCGAATTTTGAATAGGATCCTAGGTAGAGAAGATATTCTCGACCAATATCGAAGGACTCGATATTACGAAAAACCCTACCAGGTAACTAACCTTTATGCCTTGATACATATAACGAGTACACTGGCGAGACAGCAAAATATTACTAGGTCCAGAGAGTTGTACGGACAAGGAGGTGTTCGCACGTATCTGGAGCTTTTCTTCAAATCAGTGCATTGTCGATCGGAAGACGAGCTAGTGTTGCTAATAAAAATGGATCGTAATGACTATAAAGGGTGGCCCATCCATGTGTGGACAGAATATTACTCATAGACAAATACATTTTGAAAAAAATCTATTTATGGCATGTTATACATGACATTTGAGGGCACATTTCTAAAATATTTGCCATTATACAGGGTGTCCCAATTTTCACCTACATATCAAAGTTGTGATTTTTTAATTGTAATGCCTCAAATTTTATTGCATTCTTGGATAAATCAATTCAAAAGAAGAAGATTGATATAACAGACTATGGGGTTTCAGTAATTAGCTACTGAGATGTAAGGTGTTTTGTCCAGAAAAACTGTCTGCTTTGGCAACCCCTCAGTTCGTGATTTTGGAATCTGGAGTGCTGAATTTTGTTCCAAATAAACTTAAACACCTTAGCTTTTATCTTATTTGTTACTTTTTCGAATTTTCATTTTTGCTCATACAGGGTGGCCAAAAACACGAATTGTACTTTTTCTCAAAACTTTCAAATGCATCACCCTGTATATTTGTGCAAGTTTGGATTCAATTTTTTTGTTTGATGCATATTAGATCACTAGATGTTGAGTTATTAAGCTTTTAATAGAACAACACACCAAATTAAGGAAAAAAATCACATCATCCATGGAAACAACAGTGGTCTAGTTCCATATTACCACTAAAAATACAGATTTGTCATAGAAACTAATAACAATCAGAACAGATTACATCAGCTTCAAGCGTAATAGAGAAAAACAACTATAAAAACAATACAAACAAACTACTATCACTACTCGAGACCTAATCTACAAAAACTGCTCGAAAATATATGTTCCCTTATGTTCAGAAAAGCAACCTTAATCCTTTCCTTCATATTTTCCGGGGTAGGTGGTGGATAACTATAAACCTCTTGCTTCACGTTGCCCCATAGAAAGAAGTCCATCAATGTCATATCTGTTGATCTAGGAGGCGAAGATGTAGGCCCATCACGACCGATCCAATGATTGTTACTCCAGGTGTCCAAATACTTACGCACACGATTATAATAATGCGCAGGTGACATCCTCCAAAAGCAAAGGCATATGCTGTTCTGTACCTGTTAATCTGTTGTCGAAAAAGAAAGGCCCGATAACTTGTCTGCCAATAACTCCTCCCCAAACATTCAAGCTCCATTTATTTTGGAAATATATTTGCCTAACCCAGTAAGGGTTTTCCGTCGCATAATAGTGCATGTTATGCCTGTTGACAACACCAATGCTGTTAAAAGTTGCCTCATCGCTAAAAAGAATCTTATCCAGGAAAGTAGTGTCTTCACTCACTTTATTTAGCATTATTCTACTAAACTCCATTCGAGCTGCGAAATCTTAAGGACGAAGGCCTTGATGCAAGCATAAGTGATATGGATGGTACCTATGCTTGTGAATAATCCTTTGGACAAAAGTTCTGCATATATCAGTTTCTGTTCCAATTTGACGTGCACTTAAATTGGGATTTCCCTGCAACTTTAATATAACCTCCAATTGATTCGCCTCATTGGTGACACTTTATTTATACATTTTTTACTATATTCCACTGCTCCACTTGTTTCAAAACGTTCTCATAGTGTGGAAAATGTTTCCGGCCTTGAATGTCGCATTTGGGGTACCATTGCTTATAAATGCGAGATGCTAGGAAACTATTTCTTTGGGCTCCGCCCAAAACGAACACCATATTCACCATTTCTTTTTTAGAAAAATTCATTTCCAAACACGGTTTCGTTATAATGTTCACATAGCTAATTTTGACAGTTTGTAACTAATGAACAATTTATTTGTTCCCAAGCATGATGCGATATTTTAGAGAATTAAGCTGTTCCATAAAAAACGGGCTAACAACCGAAAAAAAAGCCGTAAAAACCCTTATGTGTCTAGTATCAAAAAAAGCTTTTAAAAGAATGAATCCAAACCTACACGGTATACAAGGCATTTGAAATTTTTTAACACCACCCTGTATGAACAAAAATTAAAATTCGAAAAGGTAACAAATAAGCTAGAAGCTGAGGTGTGTAAGTTTTTTTTGATACACAATTCAGCACTCCAAATTCCAAAATGACAGAATGAGGGGTTTGCCGAAGTGGGGAGTTTTTCTAGACTAAAACACCTTATATCTCAGTAGCTAATTACCAAAACCCCATAGTATGTTATATCAATTTTCTTCTTTTGAATTGGTTTATCCAAAAATGCAATAAAATTTGAGCCATTCAATTTGAAAAATCACAACTTTGATATCTAGGTCGAAATTGGGACACTGTTATTTTAGATATGTGCCATCAAATGTCATGTATAACATCCCATAAATCGAATTTCCCAAAATGTATTTTTTTATGAGTAATATTCCGTCCACATATAGATAGGTCACCCTGTATATGCAAAGTTAGGTCCGAGTAAAGATAACATGGCCACGCAAGACAACTGTTGAAATGTATTCTACTCGACTCTAGAAAACTATCCGTATCGAATCTATTGCCGAAATCGTTGCACAACACTTAAAAAAATGCAAATGAAAATTGCAAAATTGCCGTTCTAAATGACTCGGTCGGTACCCCGGGATAGACGTCCGTCTTGACAGATAACCTTGTCATTCTTGCCGCCTGGATTGCGGCGTTGCAGCTCATCGGATGATTTTACTACCTCTGCTATTTTGATAGAATGTTATAAAAAAAAGAAGTTTTGTATGAAATATTGAGAAATACCAATGGAGATATATGAAATTTGAGGCGCAGCAATGTTTGCCAAAAAACTAAACAAAAGCTGTTATCTGCATTTTGCGTCGCCTGGCGTCCATGCGGTGGAACGTTAATGTCTCTGAACATTTTTTAAATGCCCAGATTTATGGGATAAAATACTTTTTGAATATCGAACTCATGTATCCTCCAACAAGCAAGGTAAGACATTGTAGTTCCCTAAACACGGGGCTGAGATTCCAGGTTTGAAAACGCCAGAGAATCAACGCTTGATTTTTTGCACCATATTTAGTAAACATAGTGCTAAGGGCTTAGTGTCAAAGCACGATACTGACATTTATAGACTATCACCAATTCCTTGGACAAAAAATAGTATTTTGTTCGAGGCTTTGCTAATATTTTTGAGATTTTTTAGAAATGAATGTAAGTACATAAGAATTCTTACAAGAACGTTAGATTAGTGCACGTTTCTGTGAATTCCTTTGTATAATAACACAATCTTACATCAAGCATTTGTTTGCTACGTCTACTTAAATAAAATGAAAAAATAGAAAAAAAAAACACGCTTTTTTATAACTTAAAAAAACAAATGTAACGTGGTACATCCTTGAAGTCGTAGAAAAAGATGCTATTAGATACAGGGTCGTACTTTTTTAAATGTTGTGCAAAACACCATCATGTAGTGCCATTAGTTTCTGGCATTTCTTAAAATTAAGTCAGACAAAAATAAAAACGATTTGGTCAAATTTTAGTATTTCCCAAAAACCTCAGTATATGACTAATCTCTTAGTGTATGCAATGTGCGCAATTTATTTAAAAAAACATAGGATGTCAACCCAGCACACAACTAGATGAGTATGCAATTCTAACCTAGTTTGCTGCGCATGTATCCTGTTTCCCTCAGAAGAGTTGGAGGTAGACCTAATTTCCACTTTGGAAATTAGGTCTACCAACACAATCCAGAACCCTATAGTGAACATCACTACTAAAAAAAGTAAACAAAATAAGCTCTGCACGGAGCTGTGAACGCGTAGACATTCCGCTGCGCCGACGGTTGCCGAGAGACTGAAGCGTGTGAGTGCTGTACCGCGCTGCGGCGATACGGTACGGCCGGGTAGTACAGCCACGCCTTTCCAGCTCCCACTCCGCGCGTCTGCTACCGGTTAACGTAAACATCGAGTCGCTTATCAAGTTATCGATTTTTTCGACTCGAAGTCACATCCCTATTACTGGGTCCAGTGCTCGGCCGAGGGCACTGTCTCGCCACTGTACTTGTTACATGCAATCAAGGCATTACTTTAACATGTCCTTTTTTTGATATTTGCCCTTAATTGTAGTTCAGGAGACGTATAAACTTTGAAAAATGCAAGGCAATCTATAATGAAGATATGGATCGGAAGATTCAGTTTGTATTGAGGAAGAATAGAACTGACCCCTTCCCAGGATGTTCATAAAAAAGTATTTGAAACTGTTTATATATTTTATTGTAGCATAAATAGTATAAGGGTAACAAAAAGAAAATAAAATCCTTTGTATATATATATATATATATATATATATCAATTATTTATATGAGCTATTTGTATAGCTTGAAACTTAGAACTTAATGCAGAAATCAAGGGAGTCCATGGAAATATCAAATCTTTTTTCTTAGTATTGGGTTTTGATATAATATTTGAAGATGGCTACTGACCAGTTCACATAAGAGATACTGTGCAAATGTTACAAAAATTTGTACAAATCAATTATAAAAGCAACTTTTCAATATAACTGCAAAATAGACTTTCATAATATAGATCTCTAATATAATTTAGCTAAAATGATTCAAATTCCTATCACGCATCAGGTCTTCTCTAAAAGGATTTGTTTCATCTAAATCATCGTCATCATCACAAAATGGATTATTTGATTCATCATATGCGTCTTCAAAGGGATTTGAAGGTGTAGGAACACTTTTCTTGTCTACACTTTTGGAGTAACGGCTCATGTTCGCTTCAAGAGATGAACTTATTCTGAAAAGATGACAGTAATATTTATTCACACTAATTACAATCTGTGAATAAATCATAAATCCAACGTTCACCAATACAAATTTTAATGTATGATTTGGCAATTTGTATTAAAGTTATATATTATATATTTTGTTATAAAATGGGCCAAAAAAATCACCTGTAAGACGAATAAATATAAAATATATGCTAATGCCATTTGTACTTTGAAAAAGGCCACTGAGGTGGCCGAAACGTGAGGAGTCAGTTAAAATGGAGAACAAGGAACCATTATTTGAAAAATAAAACAATTTTTGCTCAATACAAAACATTCAAATATTAATTGTATAAGAAATATATAAATACCTTTGTTCCTGCAATCTTATCCTCCCCTCAGATATAGGCACAGGCCCAGGCTTACTTTTCACTTCAGTCTGCCTCAACCTTGCCTCTGCTCCCATTCCATAGCTCCTAGTTTCACTCGCAGCCTTTCGAACAGGAGGCTTTGATGTGCTAACTATCGGTACACCCAGGTTCTTTTCCATAGCTTCATCTGTTATTACCTGTTTTTAACAATACACCTTAACATACAGGGTGTTCCTTATGATATGCGAATATTTAAGGGTGTCAATCTCTTGAAAAATTAATGTTAGTTTCCTTTATAAGCTATGGTCCAAAAATGTTTCCTACAAACACTCAGGGTGTTGAACTTTTAAGAAGTGGCATACCATTTTTTTTCTTGAAAAATATCGAAATCAATACCCGTACGCACGCCACTGTTAAAGCAAAAATTATTTTTGCATTGAAAAATATGCAACTTTATCAACTTTCACTATGTACTAAATATCAGTAAAATATCTGAAGCGGTTCTGAAAATATTAATTAATTCCCATTTTTTTTCCTAAAACTTCAACACCCCGAGCTTATGTACGGAAACATTTTTGGACCATAGTTTATAAAGCAAACTAACATTAATTTTTAATGTAGATTCACACCCTTAAATATCCGCATATCATTAAGGAACACCCTGTATTTATTAAAAATAACCGTTAAATTGAAATCGGTATCTTGAAGTTAACATTATCATTACTGAGGAAGCACTTGAATTTAAAATGGGACCAAACAACAAAGTAAGTGAACCGGCTTGGTACTTCAAAGTTTCCTACTCGAAACTGTTTTAAAGTAACACCTAAAAAATTTCACCTTTTTACTGATGAGAAGAGAAACGGCTTAGGGACAGTGTGACTCGATAATGCTTGAAAATGATAAGATAGACTCACTTCGTACATTATTGCGCATAGCGTCTCTCGGTGACAATACTTCCGCTTGTCGGTAGGAAATGCTCTGTTTTGTTTTTATTTTGATATGTTTTTTCCTTGAAGAAGGTAATGAAGCAACGATATTAACATAGGTAGTATTGACTGAAATCTACATGTTGGCTTTCCTCCTCCTGGAACCACGACCAACCACAGATAGCGCTGTTTCGTGCTCATTAGCAACTCATCAGTGGGGTATAGGTCTTAGGTCTAGCCTTGGAGGCAGATGAAACAAAGCAAACAAATGGGTATGGTCCTTTGAAAAAGTCTAGACACTGTGGGCAAGTAGGTGAAAAACCTAGTTTTTGAAGGAAAATAAAAAATGGGGTTTGGCATATTTCGAACTTTGGCTATTGTCCAAAATGGTTGGGAGCATACAAAAACAGTTCCAAACTTTTAACGAACGTTGGTGACTTAAGAAAATGATGATCTTGTTTCTGTATCTGGATCTAGGATCTTATGTGAATAAGCAGAATATATTTGAAAAGCAAGTTCCATAACATATAATCACGTATCAGCAATCCAGTAAAGGAAAAAACAAAAACTATAATCTTAATTTTTGGATTTTGTTAGGAATTTGTTACTCTATTATTATCAGATTTACATCTCTCAACATGCTACTCACACAAAAATATCGTTTGAGACGTCTCCACATGTCAAAAAACTGTCTAAATGCTAAATGTTTGTCTTGGAGGTAAGTGGTCAAAAGTATGTTGTAGACATCACTATTTACCTCCTCACATCAATATCGCCACTTACATTGTGTAACCTATGGAACTGATAAGTTTTGCATTTTTATCTGATCAGATATCAATAAATAAATGTTACTCAATTTCATTTATTGCACATTTCAAAGATTGTACAGTAAAAGTAACATTATTTCACCTATTTGCATGAAAATTAAAAAAATATATATTAGGTTGATCAGAAAGTTATTGCGGTTTTTGTTATTTATATTTTAAATGATGTATTTTACACTAAAATTTATTTATAATACTATGTCTTTATATATAATTTTAAAGCGCGTTTTTCGATCAAGATGTCATGTTATGCATTAAAAACTCTGCTAAACTTAGATCCGGTAACAGGAATACAAGTATTTCTACTGACAGGTCACCAAAACAACAGGAATTTTATAGAAGAGTCTAACATGAACTGGATCAGAGGATTGCTGCAAGTGAGAAGAACATCAGAATCAAATACGTAAATGGTCTTCCAAAAATTGTTGCTAAGTTAAACTGAATAGACCCAGCAGCGCCGAATTTCGAGCGTATTATCAGAATGTTAGGGGCTTTATTTCCAAAATTGATGATTTATTTTCATCGGCAACCTCGAATGAATATGATCTAATTGGTTTAACAGAATCTTGGCTGTCCGACAAAGAACGTGACTCTGAAATTTTTCCTGGAAACTACAGTGTTTCGTAGTGACCGTGATTTTGTAAGAACAAAGAAATTGTCTGGTGGGGGTGTATTGTTGGCATGTAAAACTAGTTTTATGGCAGAACATGTTTTTTTAGATTTGTCTACTGATTATCCTTCCACTGACATAGTTGCGTTTAAGTGCAAGCTACCACTCACTCTGTTTGTTTATGTTATTTATATTCCACCAGAGACTTCTAATGACACTTACGAAAGTTTTTTGTCACACACGAGTACGTTAATAATCAATCAGCCCAACATGTTGATACTTGTCGATTTTAATGCCCCCGGTGTCGTATTTAGTCTCCATTCAGATTTTCGTTATACAACGCTAATTTTTTAGATCTTACCAACACCATCCAATCTAACCTAATATTAAATGCGCTGGGCCGATGGCTGGATTTAGTCATAAGCACTGAAAGTGTACCTACCATGTATTATTTCAAGGGAAGCTATTTCTATTGTTAAACAAGTTGATCCTCACCATCCACCTTTAAGTATCCTATTTACCATACAGCTGTCTAGTAAGTCTAACTTGCCCCCAAATACTGATCCTACCTCATTGATGTAAAACTTCACGAAGGCATCCTATGTTGGCTTATATACAGAATATATAATATTACAGATGATAATGAACTATGCGATACATTTTATGCTAAAATTTTTTAAATATTTGATATTTATGTTCCCAAATATACTACCTGCAAATTCAGGTATCCTCCTTGGTATACTGGAGAAATTATGAGTAACGCAAATTTGAAGTATTTCTACTACAGAAAATATAAGAGAACAAGCAACGTTTACTATTACAATGAATTTTCTAGATTGCGCAGAATCATAAAGGGGCAAATTAGAGTTGCTTACAGTGAGTACTTGTTGTCGGTTGATGACAGTATAATCAACGACCCGAAGAAGTTCTGGTCATACATTCGGAATAAGAGAGACTCTATCAGATTACCAGGCCAAGTCCAGTTCAATGGCAACGTATTTAATACTCCACAGCTGTTATTGATGCAATTGCCGACTATTTTAAGAGTGTGTATGTTACTCCTCGAAATATTCCCTCTTCTTTAGATAGCGTCACCTCAACACCATGTATTTATCTAGAGGAATTAACGGAACCTGATGTACTGAAGGTTCAAAATAAACTTACGCCTGGTAGAGATCAAATACCTAGTTTTATAAAGATTATGCTCATGTTTTCGTTAAGCTGATGCTGATAATTTTCAATGCTATATTAAAAAGTGGAATTTTTCCTGATGTTTGGAAGATAGCAAAGGTGTGTCCGGTCCTGAAAGATGGTGATAAATCTGATGTACTCAACTATAGAGCTATAAACATTTTGAACAACTTTGCAAAGGCTTTTGAAATGGCCCTTTTCTCTTTTATCTTCGAGAATGTTAAAAGCCTAATTACACCATCACAGCATGGTTTCATCAAAGAATCGTTAGACAATAAACAACAAGTCGATGTTATTTACATGGATTTCAGCAAGGCTTTCGAAAAATTAAACCATTATCTTCTTGTGGATAGCCTTCATTATTTCGGTCTTCTAAGCTCATATCTTTCTAATACGACGCAATATGCTTATTATAATGGTTATTCTTCAGCTAATTATACTGTTGCCTCTGGAGTACCGCAAGGTTCAAACCTAGGTCCCTTGCTGTTTTTATTCTTCATAAATAACCTTGCCGCTTCACTACAGTGTGAATCTCTAATATTTTCTGATGATCTGAAAATCTACACCAAAATTACAAATTTGGAGAGCTGTATTTCCCTTCAGGACGATCTGCGTACCATCACACAGTGGTGCGACAATAATATTCTCTTCTTAAATATTTCCAAATGCAAAGTATGTTCATATTGTCGTAAAATGAACCCGATTATGTTTGATTATTCCATAAATAATGCGGTTTTGGAGAGAACAACAGAGACTAAAGATCTTGAGGTAACATTTTCCCGTAGATTGGACTTTTCTGTCCATGTAGCACGCGTCACTTCCGAAGCGACACGGATTCTGGGTTTCATAATGCGTAACTGGCCGATCTTTTCCCAACGAAGCGGCACTAAAAGCTCTTTTCATTTCACTGGTGCGACCAAAACTTGAGTATGCTTCTTTGATATGGAACCCTTCCTATGCGTATTATATAAACATCTTAGAAAATGTACAAAGAAAATTTGTTAAATACTGTGTTGATAAAATCGATGGCTCATATCCAGAAAGGGGGTATCTCAATTTGTTCTGCTACGTCGTTTTGAACTAGAGTCTCTACAGTTAAGACGTTCCACTGCTGGCCTGTCATTCCTTCATAAGCTTTTGCACTGCAGAGTGTATGCACCAGAACTTCTCCAGTGGTTAAATTTCTGTATTCCACGAGAAGAACTCTAACTTTCTACTGTATTACCTCCCGTACCAATGTATTATTTTATTCTCCGCTACATTCTATATGCAACAATTATAATTCCATAGCAGACAGTTCTGACATTAATTTTGATTGTATCAGTAAGATCTTGTCGAATTTCAGGTACTATTATAATAGCTAATTCTGTTTTTCAAGTTAGTTTTATGTATACATTATATGTATGTATTATGAGTAAAGATACCATTATATTGTCCTCTAATTGGAATAGTCCTGTTGGGCAATTATGTATAAAATAAAATAAATAAATAAATAGATCTATCTAGTCGTATACGATGGACAAGAGGCGAATACGTTGGATTTTGTTATTCCAGTTCAAATCAGGTCTAAAAGCTGCCGAGACAGCTCGCGATATCGACGATGCATTTGGCCAAGGAACTACTAACGAACGTACGGCACAATGGTGGTTCAAGAAATTCCGCAGTGGTGACGAGAGCCTTTAAGTTGCAGTGGTCGGCCGGATGATGTTGACGACGACGAATTAAAGGCCCTGGAGGGAAGAAAACCCGCACAAAACTGTTGAGGAGCTTGATGTGGGTATTGCGACCATTTCCGTTCACTTGAAACGGATCGGAAAGTAAAAAAAGCTCGATAAATAAAACAAAAACCGGATTGTGACATGTGATGAAAAGTGGATTCTCTACGACAATAGGCGATGTTCTGGTTCTGGACAGCGACGAGGCTCCACAACATTCCCTGAAGCCGAATCTCCATCCCAAGAAGGGTTTTGTGACTGTTTGGGGGTCTGCAGCCGATCTCATTCACCACAGCTTTCTAAATCCGGGCGAAACGATTACGGCGGAGAAGTACTGCCAGCAAATCGACGAAATGCATCAGAAACTCCGACGAATGTGCCCTAGATTGGTCAATATGAAGGGACCAATTCTCCTCCACGACAACGCCCGACCACACGTCACACAACCGAACCTGCAAAAGCTGAACGAATTGGGCTATGAAACTCATCCTCATCCACCATATTCCCCAGACCTCTCGCCGAACGATTACCACTTTTTCAAACACTTCGACAACTTCCTTAGCGAGAAATGCTTCAATAACCATGACGATGCCAAAAATGCCTTCAATGCATTCATCGCCTCCAGAACCCCGGATTTCTACATTTCTCGTTGGCAAAAGTGTACTGATTTTTATTTTGACCAATACAGTTTTGTTAAAGCTGATATATGCTCCTTTGAATTTGAAGGTTAAAAACCGCAAGAATTTTCCGAACAACCTAATACTATTCTGGTAATAGTGTGATGTCTTATTTTGATAGACCATATATCCTGGATAGAGGACAGTTGCTCAGCTTTCGTTCGTTGTTCCCTGAGCCCACCCCTAGACCATGCTGATGAGTTGCAAAAAAGCACGAAACGGCTGTCCATGGTTGGACCAACGAAAGCTATATTACTAATTTAATCACACTAATTACAATCTGTGAAAATCAATATACCACAAGGGAGAATATCCTTGTGTATAGATCTTATTCCAAAACACACAATAGCAATAAATGGCCTATGAGACTAACAAAGAATAGAGAAAGTCGATGCAATACAAATATGATACAGTATTTTTATATCGGTAATGCGAAAAAGGTAATAGATGAATTAATATCTATGTGTCAGAATTGTTATAAATTACGTCGTGTGCCCGTATTCAAGGATCTCCTCAATAGCGATATTGTTCTTTCTCATATTTGTGAATATCTCACGATATAAAATGGGACCTTTTCCTCAACCTTATTTCTTTTTTTGGTGTTGCAGTAATTATCTATTCACTTTTATTCCTGGTGTTATGTTCATAATTTTTAGGAACAGTTGAATGATTGTTTTCAAGGGACTAAATACGTCATACCAAAATAATTTTTTTAAATACAAAAGTATTGTTATGATAAAGTTTTGATATACATTCTATAAATAATATTTGTATTCATAGTAATGAATTTAGATGGTTATTTGTAGATCCGCAGATTATAAATCCATGCGTTATGTGGCATTGAACTAGTATTCTTTTAAATTTCTTGTAATTAAATCTATCCAATCAGTGACAAGACATTTATGTAGATAAAGGTAATCAGAAGAATTTGAATTGAGATATAAAATTCACCTTGTATTTATTGAACACTCCTCGACCAAAGTACTCTGCCGCAACAGAGAAGCCGTCGTGCGCCTTTTCTAGTTGCGAGTGGAATGTTTCGTGCAGATCTCTGTTGTACTCTCTGGCTCTGAGTAGTTCTAGGAGGTCCTTATTTTGAGGTTCGCAGGTGAGACATTTTATCTCGTCATCGGAAAAGCTCTGGAAACAGTGCTGGTGGAAACTGTGCTTGCAGAGAAAATGGATTTTCGGTAGTTCCAATGGATGATGACAGGCTGCACATCTGAAAAGATGAGTTAGAATTTAGTTATTTGTTTTTCTATACGAGAGAAAGGTTAATGTCAGAGCAAAAATGTTTGATCAGTCTTCATGAGAAAACCTCAATTGACCACTACAGTTAAAGCTCACTGACATATTGGTTAATGTCAACTTACATTCTGTGCTTTCCTTATAAGAATTTCAACTCTGTAGATGCCACATAATAAATTTAAAATATTCAACAGTGACAAGTCTGTGCGTAAAAAGGTTATTCTTTATTGAGGCTCTTTTCTCCAACAAAAAATCACCTTAAAATGCTCGAACATACCTCTCAATATTTTAGTCAATTCATGGGCTATAAGAAATGCCTTACCTTGATCCTCTGATCTCTATAACTCCATTCTTTAACTCTTCTAAGAGTTCCTTCAATTTCTCGGTATCCCGACGATAGTTGGTTGTTAACTGAGATACCTCTTTGGTCACTTTTTGCTCTTGTTGAATCTCATTCGTGATATAGGACCTTATGTGGCCCAATGTTATGTTGGCGTTACCACTACCAAGAGCATCTATGACTAGTTGTGGAGAGAAAAGTTTTTCTTTTGCTATCACAGTCAGAATCTAAAAATTTAAAGGTATTTTTAACTAGATAGTGAGGATAATCTACAGGGGCGAAATATCTAGGAGTAATTTTAGATGAAACGCTAAGCTGGAATTCGCATCTGGAAGCAGTCCTTTGTGTCGAAGGGTCTGTGGAAAGAAATGGGGAATGAATCGTAAGCAAATGGTCGTATGACCTATCAGTCTGTAGCCTGATGGGACAAGGCAGCACATTTACCTGGAAAGCAAGGCACGAAGGACAACCAGGCTACATCCTGTGGCGAATGGTATGATGGACAATCTCACTATAGAAGAAACATACAAAACTACCACAGTGATAATTCCTCAAAGATAAAAATAGGTGTTGGGGCTAGTGTCCGCATGCCGAAGCTGAATATTAAGGAATCAGTCAGCCTAGGAACCTGGGCATCGATTTTCCAGGCAGAGCTATACGCTATAGAACTGTGTACCAGAATGATTGCAGAACGACAATTGAACCACGCGTTTATAAACTTTTTTCATATAGTCAAGCCGGGCTTCAAGCACTTGACTCCACCTACTCATCATCAAAATTACTGTGGGATTGACCAGTAAGTCGCAGTGGAGGATCGTGATTGATCCACTCACAAGAAACCTAACCTAATGACGATCTGTCACAATTTAGTGACTCAGAGGTTTGAAACACTGGTTCATAGTCCTTTTGGAACTGAGATTTTTTTAAAATGGCAAAGACTCAGAATCGCATAAAAAATTCCACGAGTATTGGACACCTCAGCTAATACCGTGCGAATCGTTTACGGTTGAGGTCGACCGGGTTTCAATGTGTACAGGAGAGAGAAGCGTGCAACGCGTATGTTAGAAAGCATTGGAAACAGTGTGCTGACCACGTTGCCTGTCAATGACAGCCAGGAAGGTCACGCAGCACTAGTTCTAACTCTTTCTAACATACGTGTTGGGCGCTTCTCTCGCTGATCTCTCGTACACACCGAAACTCGGCCAACCCCAACCGTAAATGCTTCACACGGAATACAGGTTTCTTACACTTTTTACATGTATACATAGTCATGCCATAAGTTCTGTCCCTCGTTTTCAAACAAGTGTAGACCTGTTAATACTTGTCCGATTGTTTACATTGTGGTGTCAGTTGATTAAGCGCTTTTCGGGTAATTACATATACCTCAGTTTGTATTGATCTCTCGAAGCATAACGATGGAGTGGGGCAAGGCAGAGAACCGTATTGCAGTGATAGCTTTACATAAGTGTAATCACAGTGCTAGTCAGATTTTTGAACTCTTACGCGGCCTTCAAATATCGCGTAAATTTGTGTCTAGGACCATTCAGCGGTACAATGAGACGTCCTCTGTTGATGACAGGCCAAGAAGCGGAAGACCTCGTCAAGTAAGGACTCCAGCAGCCATCAAAGCCGTAAAAGCCAGGATTCAAAGGAATCCACTCCGGAAGCAGAAGATCCTATCCAGGGAAATGAAGATTCCTGTCCGGACGATGTCGCGCATCATTAAACAAGACCTAGGGCTAGGGGCTTACCGGAGACGTACGGGCCAGCGACTTACGGCCACCTTGCGTCACATCAGGGCGACAAGATCCAAGAAGCTCTTGGAGAGGTACGCAGCTGGGGGATTCCGAAAGATTTTGTTCACGGATGAGAATATCTTCACCATAGAAGAAAAATTCAACCGACAAAATGACAAAGTGTATGCAAGGAGTTCACAGGAAGCTTCGGAGATCATTCCGAGAGTTGAGAGAGGCCACCACCCTGCGTCAGTCATGGTTTGGTGGGGGGTGTCCTACGAAGGGGTCACTCAGCTCCATTTCTGTAAACAGGGCGTGAAAACAAAAGCGGCAAACTATCAGAGCGACATACTGGATCCTATCGTCAAGCCTTTAAGTGGTACATTGTTTGCCAACCAACACTGGGTCTACCAGCAGGATTCCGCCCCGGCTCACAAGGCTAAGAGTACGCAGCGCTGGCTGAAAAGCAATGTGCCAGAGTTCATTGCTGCGGAAGATTGGCCCTCAGGGAGTCCGGACCTCAATCCTTTAGACTACAAGTTGTGGGACCTGCTAGAGCAGTTGGCCTGCTCCAAAGCCCACCGTAATATCGAGTCCCTGAAAGCGGATTTGATCCGATCAGCGGCAGCTATTCCTTTGGAAGCTGTGCGTGCAGTGATAGATGAGTGGCCCGCGAGATTGAAGCAGTGTGTGAAGGCCAAGGGGGGACATTTTGAATAAAACTGTTTGATTATGAATTCTAAAAATGTTGTCGAATAAATAATATCTTTCATATAAATATATCTTATCTTGTTTCATTTTTATCATGAGATTATCATGGGACAGAACTTATGGCACGACTACGTAGAACGATAAGAGGAAGAAAGCTTTTCAGTTACGACAGTATCACTTACTTCATTTAGTAAATCCATAGAAGGGTTTGTCGTGTTTCTGACGCACGACCAGAGAGCATGGACCCATAATGTAGGGTCTTGGTGCCCAAATCTCCTGCAACATGCTAGTACCGCGGTTGAGTCGTCTTTCGATATATGATACCTGAAATAAATAACATTTCAACATCTACAAAAATGATCCAACAAATTTCAATATGTGTTTATGTTTGGGCTAATTATACCATCCTCGAGAGTAGGTACTTTTTATAGAGATGAAAGCTAGCCTTCAGCTATAGTTGATGTTGTTGAAAGCTGGGTAGCGCTGTGTGCCTCTCAATGAGATATCCCCATTTGAGCTGCATATTGCCAGCACCTTGTCAGCAATTTAGTTGAAATAACATGACAATCATGTTTCTTTCCTCAAAAATCTGATTTTTATAATAACGCTAATTCCGTTCGTTAACACAACAACTCTGACCAGGGATTAGTAAGAACAATTTTATACAGGGTGTTTCAGTTTATTGTTGCATAACTTTAAGATTCGATAGAACTGTTGAAATTAATGCATAAAGTCTATATAAACATGGGTCTAAAAATGCGTGGCTTCCGAAATACAGGGTGTTTAAATTTACTTTTTAAAATAGTTTTTTTTTAAATATTTCGAACAATATTTGATGTATAACAGTGAAAATTGGTATACAAGGGTTTTTTGGTACGACAAAACGAACCATGGGCATAGTTTTACTGTAGCCGCTAGAGGGCGCTCTCTACTGTACCTGTAGTGTATTAAAATGACCGAAAAATTTTTCTTAGTGCAATTTTTTGCTTTTTGATTAAAAAAACTGATTCTTCGCACTTTTCTGCATAAAAAAGCTCTCCTGTGAGTTTTCGTTATAGTTAGCCGTTTTTAGATATTTCGATTTTTAAAGTTCGATGCATTTTTAATTATTTATGGGAAAATAATATTTTTTTTACATTTTCGATTTAGGCATTACAAGTAATTAAGATGATCGTTTAGATTGTATTTTAAAACACAGCAATAATTCCTAACTCCAAATAAACAGAAAAAAACAGAATATTAATTTGTTTAATTTTCCAATATTATTTTTAACAAATTAATTAATTATTTACAACTAAAATGGTATTGGATAGTTAGGATAAACATACAAAATCTAAAGTAGTTGCTCGAAATGTAAACCCAATTGTTCAATACACAATTCACATCTACGAATGATCGAACGTGGTATAGCATTATTCAAATAAGGCCTTATTTCATCACATGCACTCCTGATTCTGTCTATTAGCATATCTTTTGTGGTTACGGGAGTCTGGTACACTTTTTCTTTTAGAAATCCCCACATAAAGAAATCTAATGGATTGATCGTGGAGGCCAGGCGGCTGGTCCTCCACGGCCGATCCATCTTTCTGAATAAGCTGGAACCAGGCCAATCTTCTTAAATCTAACATAACATCATCCCACATATTTGCATGTTCAGCCTTTAAAAATTCCAAGAAGGTCGCAGCATTTAACTTTGAAGGAAAAAGGTAGGGTCCAAATAGTCGATTACGGTAGATACCAATCCACACGTTCACACTAAATTCATGCTGATAATTTCTTTCCCGAACTGCATGCGGATTTTCATGCCACCAAATATGGTGATAATGAAAATTTACCACTCCACGTCTAGTGAAGCATGACTCATCGGTCCATAAAACGTTACTTAAAAACTCCCTATTATTATCAGTTCTATCAAGAATCCACTGACAAAATGTGATTCTTCGTTCTCCGTCCCCTGGCTGTAGTCCTTGCACAGGTTGCAAATGGTAAGGACGTCTATGGTCATTTCTAAGAACACGGTGAACATGGCTTGCTGAAATTCCCAAGGCACCAGAAACTCTCCTAACACTTGTGGTCCGATCTCTATCAAACTCACGTAGAATCATACGGGTAAATCTGCGCTGACGAACATTTATGTTTTGATCCCTTTGGAGATTCCCAAAACCATTTTCAATTGAGTTGGATGTCGTCTGTTTGGAAATCTTCGTGCGTATTCTCTGGATGCTTCTGCTGCGTTTCCATTTACAAAGCCATACACAAAATGAATATCCGCTAACTCTTGATTGGAGAATAAAAATGGCATTTTTATAAAACTTACAAAAAAAATAACAGGTAAAAGAAACTAAATTTCGTACATTCACAATTGCAAAAAAACGTTTCAGTTTTCAAGAGATAACAAAACTAACTGTCAACTAATTGACGTTTAATCTTATTCTGCTTTCAATTTCAAAAATATTTGCAGGCACAGCCTACTTCTAAAAATTGTCGAGATACTGACTTTTTAACGTTATTTTATCATAAATAATTAAAAATGCATCGAACCTTAAAAATCGAAATATCTCAAAAACGGCTAACTTTAACGAAAATTCACAAGAGAGCTTTTATATGTTGAAAAGTGCGAAGAATCAGTTTTTTTATTCAAAAAGCAAAAAATTGTACTAAGAAAAAAATTTCGGTCATTTTAATACACTACAAGTATAGTAGGGAGCGCCCTCTAGCGGCTACAGTAAAACTACACCCATGATTCGTTTTTTCGTACCAAAAAACCCTTGTATTTCAATTTTCACTGTTATACATCAAATATTGTTCGAAATATTTAAAAAAACACTATTTTAGAAAGTAAATTTAATGTTGGACCAGCGAAAGATTGCAAGCCGAAAGAATGCGGACAAAAAATTGCGAAGTTGTCAGATGTTCTACATAAAATGCGGTCCATACATATTAACATATTTAAGATATAGAATTGTTCCGCTGAATTTGGCAATGTAGCTGGAAAACCCAGGCCGCAGGTAAACATCCGGTCGCTGATTGGTCCAAAACTCTTATCTTATCTGAAACTAGAATAACGTGCCGATGGCACGGTCATTTATAAACCTACTCCCATAGGCGTAGGCAGTTGGCAAATACTTTGAAAATATAATTTACTGTTTAGTGGTGATAATGGAATTCAAGCATGGGAAAGTTATTCACAGCCAGGCAAGGGAAATAATAGCAAACGTGATACGTGCTTGCGATGCAGAAGCGGCTAACAATACTTTCGTTTATCCACTGGTAGCTAGAAATGCAAGGGCGGCATATTATACGGGTGTTAGTGAACGAACTATAAGTAAAATTAGAAAAGAAGATAAAGACAGGCAAAATGCAACCTCCACACAGCCTTTAGCTTCTCCCGGAAAAAAGAGATCACGCCCTTCTGTGATCCAAAAAATTGATGGAGTCGATTTTTCCATTATTCGGAGAATGATAGAAAAATTTTACTGTGATTTTAAAGTGGTACCTACTTGTAGTAAACTTCTAATCAAACTGAAGGAAGAAATGGAATTTCCATTTGGTAAAGAATCGTTGAGGCTGCTTTTAAAAGCAAAAGGATTTTACTGGCGTAAATGCCACAACAAAAGGAAATTACTAATGGAAAGACCCAGTATTTTACATTGGCGATACAAGTATCTTAGGTCTATTAAAAAGTTCCGGGAAGAAGGAAGGCATATTATTTATTTGGACGAAACTTGGGTTGATAATGACCTCACTTTCAAGAAATGCTGGCAAAGCGAAGAAATTATGGGTGTCCTGAGCAATATAAGTTCTACAGGTAATAAAGTTTCTTTCACCTCGATTTTGCTTATTATACATTTTTCTCAATTTTGGAATATTCTTAATAAGTGCTCATTTAATTTGTCTAATTGAATACATAATCCCTTGCAAGTATTTTTTTCTCAAAAATATGTTTTTTATACATAGTGATTCAAAAAGGTGTTGGCAAACTTAAAATAACACTAAAATGAGGCTATTTATTCATTTCCAGGACGACTTATAATTGTTCATGCGGGTTCGCAAGATGGTTTTGTTCCTGGAGCCTGTCTCATTTTCAAGGCTGGCTGTGCCACTGGTGATTATCACGGTCAAATGAACCAAGAAAATTTCACGAAGTGGCTTACTGAAAAACTATTTCCTAACATTCCTCCTAATAGTATTATAATAATGGATAATGCACCTTACCATTCAGCTTTGGAAGACAAGCCTCCAACTAGATCTTCTCTAAAAAGAGACATCATCACGTGGTTGAGCAAAAAAGGTATAGAGCATGATCCTAATGCTAAAAAAATGGAGCTTTATGAAATAGCTTGTCTACATAGGCCACCATCTGATGAGAAAAATTATAAGATAGATAATTTAATAAGAAGTTTCGGACACACCCCATGATAGCAATGACAGTTCCTCAGACAGTGATCATGACTCTAATCAGGATTGAAACTATACTAGATTGGCTACCTTTTAGAATTTTTAGATATTCATTTATTATACTATTGGTTTGTGGCTTTTAGTATCTCAGTAGAAAGTCTAATTCTATGTGTTGTTTATGGGTTATTTCATCAAGAAATTACTTTTTGTTTTCCTATATTTTTCTATTCAGTCAGATATTTTTGACTTGTTGTATTCTATTTTAGAAGAATGCATAATTTGTTTTGCTGTTCAATCATAATGCGTACATAGGAATATTACTTGTTGCCTAAAAAATATATTTATTTTGTTCTCAATATTCAGTGTTTGTGTATATTTATTTCTTATAATGTATGTTTGGTATCACGTCATTATGAATCGCAAAAAAATATTAATACTACCAGTTGTAATAAAATATAAATTCAATTAATAATTCAAGTCTCTCCGATCTCCGCCTATGACTCCATATAAAATCGTCTAATGGTAAGGTTTTTTCATCGCATTTCCCCCTTTCGTCCCTAGCAATCTTTGGCTGGTCGATCAATAAACACCCTGTATTTCGGAAGCCACGCATTTTTCGACCCATGTTTATATAGACTTTATGCATTAATTTTAAAAGTTCTATCGAAACTTAAAGTTAGGCAACAATAAACTGAAACACCCTGTATATAAAGTAAATCTATTTTTGTTTGTACACATGAAAGCACTTCTGGGACGAGATTTAACGGTACAAAAGATTATATTTTTTCTCGGTCCGACCAAAGACCGGCCGATCCAAGCGCGGATCCAGGGGGGGTCATGGGCGAACCTAGTTTGACTACTAATATTTATGACTTTCGAATCTTTTTGATAAATTCAATGAAATACAATTGTTTGCAAATAGGTAATTAATACAAAAGAGTAAAAAATCACCGGAGTTGGTGAAATATCACCACACCTGGCAAACCTTATCGATGGATAAAGCGGATGTCGTGGAAATAACAGGGTTGCGGAAGTTTGGTTGCCTATACGTTCAGCTTGACGCAAATATAAATAAAATAGTTACACTGCGTTTTTCGCGTTTAATACAGCTTGTAGTACTACCCAGCCTCTTCTTTTTTGTGATTAAGGTAGAAAATTCAGACATTCGGACAGGAATAGAAAAAAAACCTTTTCGATCATGCTGTGAACAAATTTGATAAAAATACTTATTGACGGACAAAATTACAGAAAAGCGGTTTCATTTGATTGAAAGATGGTAAGCAGCCAGCATCATAGTTATCTAACCATAAGAGTGTTCAAATCTCGCTCTCTTCATCTATCAGTTACCTATATCCTACTTCATATTTTTGACACTTTATTTCTTACTAGCATGATAGTATTGTCTTAGTTTAGTCATGTACAGGACGTTTCCTAAACATGAGACAAGAATTGAATGGGTGACTCGTAAGACTATCCTGAAACTATTGTATTTGATCTTCTCGATTTTCAAAACACCTTTTGATTGCGGAGAAAGAGGCACTGAAGGATACGTCGTTGAAAATTGGTTTCCTTGGATAATTATTACATATTGTCACATAAGTTTTGACATCGCGTAACTCAAAAAAAAATGGTGCCATCAAAATAAAGATTCCGTCATTTTTTTGGCTCTTTACAAAATTTGCTACGCTGTGTTAGAACTTAAGCGACGATGTATAGTAATCCAAGGAAAACGATTAACTCATTTAATTCGCGAGAGACATAAACGCAATATATTGCTATTTTTTTCATTTTTGTATAATCATGCCTCTAAAATTTTTGGAAATTGGTATATTTTCCTGACCATGAATCCTATGACAGCAATTCCCTGACACAAATGCTGGATCTGCCCTTGGACCGATAAGCCCTTCGGTCGAACAAACGAAAGCAGAATGTTTTGTATGCAGGGTCAAGTAGCCCATATCTACAAAATGGCTAGAATCGTCAGCCATGTGACAGTCACGCTGATGAGTTCGCTAGCATTGCAGACTGAGATCTTCACAGTTCCAAACGGTAGCTGCTGTACTCTGGTCGCAGTGGTCGATTCTGGTAACACGTGGCGCTTTACGCTGTCTTATTTCATTATTTGTGTGCCTGTATTACAATAGTTTCATGAAGCAACTCTTCCCCCTTCGCGGTATACTCAAAACATCGTAGCTTTATTGCTATAGATGGCGACCCCCTTTTCAAAAAAAGATGTCTAGGATAAACACTTTACAAACTAGCGAAAACTATAGCATGAATCAGTCTGAAAATTTTAACCTGCCTCTTCAGGAGAATTTGTTCATCTAATTTGTAGCTTCTGACTTAGTAACAAGACCGATAAGTAAATTTCAGCCGTCGTTGGCAGATTTTTCAGCTACGTGTTATTATCTAGTTTTAATCACCATTCTGTAGATTTTTCATTATACTGTATGACGATGTCTTAATTTTTTATATGAACGTGTGTTCTACGCGTGAGCAAAACGATTAAAAAATGCAAGGTTTGAAATTTACTGCTAAAAGCAAAAAAAACGAGTTTTTTGTATATTTTACCCATAATATCTGAAACGACCATTGGTTTGCAGACCAAAGCCGAAGCGAAAAATGATCGCGTCTCTGCAACTATCCAGACGGGGTTATCTTTTTCTCTTATTTTCCTAGTCTATAATGCCTGATTCAGGATATACGCACTCAAGAAATATTTGGCAGGTATAGTATTGTTTTTAACACAAACACCGTAGTCTTTAAAGTAATACCTCAATATTTGCTGATACAGCTTCTGCTCCTCATACAAGTACAAAATTCCTTCCTTGAACGAGTGCAAATGACACACCACGAGCGCCTGCGACTTATCATATTTCACATCAGAGTTCTGCAACAACTTCAACGCTTTCTGCGACATCCTATTTTTATCGGCAACGTTCTTCAGATTAGACCAGACGTGGATGTAATGTTCAAAGAGCAGGTTGTAAACTGCAGTGCTCAGGATGCATCCTTCATTCAGAAGATGCTCCAGGAACTCCACTAGCAACTCAGAGTTGTTGAGGAATAGGTGGACAAAGTCCTCTGCGTCAGCTCGACAAGGCACCTCAAAACTCCCGCTTATCAGGTTTTCGGAGTTCAAAGGCGCGTTGTTAGGCTTGTAGTTGGTGCAAAGCTTCTTCAGGAGAGTGGTGCTTTCTTTTGGAACATTTTCTACCAGGACCATTCCGTATTTCTTCATGTAATATTCGGCTTCTTCATAATTCAAGTTGGAAATGTAGTCGATTACATCCGTGTATTTTTGGTGGTCTTCAATTTGAAGTTTGATGTACCAGTCGTGTTTCTCGTGTTTCTTGGCTAACATCAAAGCTTCTTCCGGACTCTCGTTCCTGTAGAGATATTAAACAACAAAAATTAGTGGTTTATGTATAAGAAAATCTGATAATGATTATGAACAAACTAGCCTATACCCACGGCTTCGCCCGCGTGGATATACTGTTTTGCATCAGTGCATTGGTTTCGGAGAAAGAAATGCAATATTCAACGTAATGCAAACGTTACTTTGATAATCAACACTTTTTATTCACCATCTTAGTGCAACAATGAGTTAATATCAAATTTGTAACTAGTCCGGGCGATATCTTCGTATCTAATGGGAAAAATATTCTGATTCGGATTTTTTGCATAATCTTATTCAAAAGGGCCCCTTTTATCGAATCTGCATGTTGCTAGGCTCAACAATGCGTCAAAAATGTTTTATGTAAAGTTTTGTTTTTCGTCCAAGATGTTAGCTTAGCTGTTGTACACTTGTTGTGAACTTTGTAACTGTACGTGTTGCTTAAACGTCATAGTGAGCAAACGTAGAATAAACTATTATTTGTACACTAAAAACTACCTAGTCTGCGAGATGAAATTTCGTCGGTCCAAGTTTTATTATATTTTTTGGGACATTCTGAAAAAAAGGTGATTTAGAACTATTCTCTGAAGTTGCAAGTTTTCGAGATATAAGCGCTGCAATATTTGAAAAAGCGCGAAATATGCCATTTTCGTCCCTGAAAAAACAATATGGAAAAACGAAAAATTTAGTGTTGCCAGTATTTCTAAATGTTCTACAAACTTCCATTAACAAAATCTGAAAACATTTCAGGTAGTATTGTTATTGTAAACGTTTGTTTATTAATTTTAAAAAACTCGCTCGCTCATTAAATACTCTACGTGAGTGCGAGAAAAAGCAAAAGGTTTACAATAATACCTCCTGAAATGCTTTGGGATTTTGTTATTGGATGTTTGAAGAATATTAAGGTACACTGGCAACATTACAATTTTCTTTTTTTTCATATTGTTTTTCGGAGTCATATTTCGCATTTTTTTCAAATATTATATCGCTTATATCTCGACTAGCAACTTTAAAGCAAAGTTCCAAAACGCCTTTTTGTTCAGAATATCCTACAAGACCCAGAAACACTTTTACCAGACCGCAAAAACAATTTTTTGAATTTGTTTGAAATAAATTGATCAAAAGTTTTGATGAAAATTTGGGGAGATCCATTAAACAAAATCCGAATCAAAATATTTTCCCATCATATGTTAAGATATTGCCCGAACAAAATCTGAATCATAATAAATAATGCGTGAAGTATCTCGTAACCTGTGTGGTATATCTTAACATATCCTAACCCAATAACTATTTATTCACAAAATTATAATAAATAAAATCATTCATTTATTCCTCAAACATTAAAGACATCAGGACTCAACATCCGTATTAAAGCAATGTAAATTGTACATCTAAGAGTCCGTTCCCACTTCAGTTGGCCCACTTCAAGATTTGTACCAAAATATGCCTTTATAAACTAAACATGACGAAACTATTTACTTCTAAAACAATTTATTTTCTCAAAAACATTTTAGATACACTCTAGTCGTAAAAAATACATATTTGAAATCAGTTAGACCTATAACTAATATACTAAGTGACATATAAATCCGAACACCCAGTTTAAATGGTTTTATTTTAATAAAATTTTGTATAAGTACTTAATGAAGCATAATAAGTAAATGATAAAAATGATTGCACTGCCTTAAAGGCCTTTGACCTTTAATAATGTGTGGATGCACCCTGATGTGCTACGCATTCTCCAACGCGCCTAGGCATGCTTCTGATCAGGTGGTCAATGTCCTCCTGTGGTATCTCATTCCAGGCAACCACCAACTCCTCTCGAAGTGCTTCTAGAGTCTGAGGAGGACGTTGCAAATTGAGCAATCTCCTACCCATCATATCCCACACGTGCTCAATTGGGGATAAGTCGGGAGATCTTGGTGGCCATGGTAACAATGTGATATCATTATGTTGAAAGAAGTCTATTGTGACTCTTGCAACATGTGGTCGGGCATTATCTTGTTGGAAAGTTGGATCTGCCAGGGTGTCAAGATAGGGTAAAAGATGGGGTTCTAGAACTTCGTGGATATAACGCTGCGCGTTCATGTTACCTCTGATGAAGATTAAAGGTGACCTGGAACCATAAGCTATAGCACCCCAAACCATAACTCCAACAGTGTGATGAACATGTCTTTCAACAAAAAACTGTGGATTCCTCCTTTCACCACGTCGCCTTCTAACCCTGGCACGACCATCGTGCATGCCTAAACAAAATCGAGACTCGTCACTAAAGACAATACTGTTCCATTCCTGATCCCAGAATGACCGTTGTCTGCACCACTCAAGGCGATTACGTCGGTGTTCTCGAGTTAAAGGGAGGACCCAGTGTGGCCGGTATGAAAACAAGCCAAAACTTCTCATTCGTCGGTAAACACTTCGCATGCTAATAGGTCTTCCGTGTTCTGCAAACCATTCATTTGCAATGGACCTGGTAGTGGAAAAACGGTCCCTTAAGGCCAATAATCTTAGGCGGCGATCTCCACGGTCTGTTGTTCTACGGCGGCTTCCAATGCCCCTTGCTCTTTGCGTAAAGGCCTTCTCGAAGCCATGCCTGACAACACCTAACCACAGTGTCTACACTTCTTTGCACTCTAACTGCAATTGCCCGAAAAGAAAGTCCAGCTTCCCGAAGTCGCACTATACGGCCCCTATCAAACTCACTAAGTTGACGAAATCGTACGGGTCTCCGTACTCTAGGCATCGTAACCGATCGTAAAGGATGTCAAGAACCAAAATCCGCCAACGTTGATTCTTTACTGCGGCTGAAATATTCATTTTTAGAGCGTTAGTGAATTAAAAAAAGCAGTATAAAAACCGGAATGTCCAACTGATAAGGCTGAAAATTTTTGCACTTGTTATTTACAGTAAGATAAATACATTCACCAACTTTTATTAAAATAAAGCCATTTAAACTGGGTGTTCGGATTTATATGTCACTTAGTATAGAACATATATGAACAAATAAACAATGTGCGAATAAATGCGTGAAGTTACCAAAGCAACAATTGAAAGATTACCATTGGGTAACATCACCTATGTTTTTTATTACGGCTGAAATTCTTTGAGGCAGTGTTAAACAAGTTTTGGCAAAAATTTGGTGTAAAACAATCCTATATTTCTTGAAGCTTTTGTCTCAGTTCGGTGATTGTACGAGCAGGATGTTGTCGTACAACCTTTTTCATCTCGTGCCACAAAGTTTCAATAGGTGACAGATCTAGACTGCTAGTAACCCATTTCAAAAGTGGTACATTATTTTCGTCCATCCATTTTATAGCCTTTTTGAGGTATGGCACGCTGCACCATCTTGCTGAAACACAAAATCTTGGCCGGATGTCAAACATTCTTCCATCACTGGTAAAAGCGATTCTTCTAAAATTGCCAGATATTTGTTTGTATCCAGATTTCCATCATAAAATGAAGTTTTACTACTCGTTTTAATGACATACTGCCCCAGACCATAATGGATGCTGGAAATTTCACTTTTCTCTTCAGACAGTCAACATGGAATGCTTCATTTTTTTGCGAATAACTCTACTGCGACTGTCACCAACACAAACTTCGAATCGGGCCTCATCACTCCATTGTTGAGGTGTCCATTGTCTATGTTCTTTAGCCCATCTAAGCCGATTTTACTTCACTTTTTTTTATAAGAAAACTTACCTTGCACGTGCTACATCCCAGTTTCTGGGCCTCTTTGAGTTGTGGACCTCGAAATCCTTCTTCCAACAGCGTCACTCCACAGAGCACTTAATTGTAAATAATCGGCACGCCTGTTTTTCACGATTATTCTTCTTAATGATCTTCGGTCGGCATTTGTGACATTAGTTTTTTTCACATGTGGCTTAATATTAACTGAACCAGTTACGTTATATCTTCTTACAATATTTCTCACACTGTACCGCGATAAGTCTAACAAAGCTGCAATTTCTGAGTTTGATTTCCGAGAATTAAAAAATTTAATTATCAGTAACCGAATTTTCTCACTAATAGCCTTTCCTCTACCCATTTTGAAAACCTTAACTACCCAAAACTATTTTAAACGTATTCTGACAGCTGTGATTAATAAAAACAATTGTCATGGCTCTTATTTTTCACAGCCATCTATGCGTTATAGACTTATTTTGCATTGAAATGAAAATAGGTTGATATGCAAATTTGATTAGGGAGTGATAAAGTTGGTGTTTTCTACTATATATTATTAAAATATTCATTGTTAATATTTTTTTTAACCTATAACACCCTGCTACATTTTTATTATTTGTGTTTGATAAGAAAAAAACTAAGATTTCAATAGTTGGGCCAACTGAAGTGGGAAGGGGCTCGTATAAGAAATACACTCATTCTTTGAATTTACCTTAGAATATTACTCAAAATTTCTTTTAAATATTGTATTTCCTTGAGTTATAGAGCTTAATGATTATGTACTAATGAATATTATTAATATTTACTCAAATAATTCACAATAATAATAAAACCCATAATTTTCTGCACATACAATTAAATTAGCTAAGTGATTTATGATAATGTACTATATAAGAAGTAAGTTATACCACCTTCTTTATAAAAATCGTAAATTTTCTCAAATAATTGAACTATGAAGTAAAACACATAACAAATCTAAGTCAATATGATCACTCTACGAAAACTAATGTTAAAATGCCATAAATGCACGATGTAAGTGCACTCTATTTATATACATTTATTCATTTGCGTCAGACCAGCGCTAAGTCAGACACCTCCTGTCAAATTGAATTAAGCGATTTGGCTGCAGCTCATGAAATATATATTCCAAAATTATTTCCTGGGACAAAAAGCAGCATATGCTATGCTATAATCTATTGAATCTGAATGAAATTTGATACCAAATTTCATTCAGATTCATTTAGGCATGATTGAGAAACAAACATCCACACTTTCTCATTTGTAATATTACAAGGTATACACACCTGCATACTTTTATTGCAATATCCACATCATAGTTCAAAACACCATCTTTACTGTTTATGAATTCTTTCAAGCTATTTGTCTGCCCAACTGAATTATTTAGTTTGGTGTAGCAATTCAGTAGCAGGGTCGTATGATCTTCGGTAGCATGGCCTTGCTTATGCAATGCTTGAAGATACATCGTCAACTTTTCAATATGCTGAGAATCTAGGAATTTACGTATGACATAGCTTGGTTCCAGTTTACCTAGAAGAAATACACATAAAACATATTGAGATAAAACTACGACAACAATTGTATTGAAATTGACCTCTTCTATCAAAGTCTTCAAAAATATAGTTTTAGAGAATTAAAACAACATGCTTTAATATTTAATAGCAAGTCGAACTAAAAAGCAAAAAATAATTTTTTAATGTTAGAGTTAGTGTTACTGTAATAGCAAATTCAACAATCATGTATGACCAATTAATTTGGACTAAAAGATCAATATAAAAATTGAGATATTCCCAAAAAATTCCATTACAGTAAAAAGGCGTGGGGTGTGTGAATTAAGTGTTTATTATAAATTATTTTTTTAGTCGCCATTTACAAAATTGTAGTTATTATGAAAATATATAATTGAATTTAATGTTAATATCTAAAAGCTTATATTGATCTTATTCCAAATTAATTAATCATACTTGCTATTGTGGTAACACAAACTCTACAATGCATGAAAATTATTTTCTACTTTTTAGTTCGATTTGCTACTCGTATTAGAGCATGTTTTTTTTAGTTTTTTCAAACTATAATTTATATTATGTATTTTTAGTCTCAAATGACAACAAAAGTACTTATAATTATGAGCTTCAATTTTGGTATATTTTGTAGTCGACAATACATCGAAATTTGATTCCAATTTTTTTTCAAAATTCGAAATTTCCAATGCTTTTTCAAAATTTCCAAACTTTTTTCAAAATTTTAAAATCTTTCAATTTATTTTCTCAATTTTCGAATTTTCCAATTAATGTCCAAACTTAAAATTCCATTTTTTCCAAATTTCAAATTCCGTTTTTTTATTTTCAAGAAGAATTTTTTTCGATAATGATTGTTTGTCACCGGCCCTTAACCCCTGTGCAAAGTTAATCAGACTTCTTGAAATTGGTAAAATTAGGTTGAAGGACGCTGTTACATGCATACATACACACATACATACATACAGGTCAGGCTAATAAAAGTATGTTAATAAAAACCAAAATAAGCTATTCGTAAGTGTTCTCTCAATCAACACTGTTCTTCACTACTTGGATTCATGTTTTCCTTATTAGTTTACACTTGGGTTTGGTTTTATGTACGATTTAAGGATTCTTTTCTATGCACTACTAATAACAAATAATTTCAAAAAATAATGCGTATACAGCAGACGCTCGATAACGTAAACACGGGATAATGAAAACTTGCGCTAATGTAAACACAAACTTCGTTCTATAGGATCAAACGGAACGCGCGATAACGTAAACAATGTGTACGCTCGATAACGTAAAATGCTGAAGCCTCGATGATTTATGTCGGGCGTCGGAGAGTCCCAGATTTATGATGTAGAGTGTATGGGATTCACCTCTGCGATAAAATACGACAAACTCGGTCAGTCGTATGATCGTTTAGGATACGTTTATACGTACGTATGTATTTCATTTTTGAACTTAAGTGAATACATTGCACGCGTTAATATATTTTACGACTGTGGCATCCACATCCTATAAAAGAAAGTGTTTAAAGTTGAGTGAGAAAGTGAAAATCATAGACGAAGTTGCACTAGGTGCAGGAGTGACACAGTTAGCAAAAAAATATGGAGTATCGAAAGCAACAATCTGTAAAATTAAGCGTATGAAAACTCAAATTGTACAAAGAACGTGCAATACATTTGGAGGTCCGGGAAAAAGAAAAACTTTAAAAAATGCGAAGGCACCTAAAATGGAAAATTCCCTGTATAAGTGGTTTTTAAAACAACGGGAAAATCATGTCCCAGTTAGTGGCGAAGTACTTAAACAGAGAGCGAGACTGTTAAATGAAAAACTGAAAGAAACTGAAAATTTTGTAGCTAGTGATGGCTGGCTACAATGATTCAAAACAAGATATGGAATTCGACTGCTGTCTATATCTAGTGAAACATTATCAGCACAACCACAATTAGTGCAACCATTCAAAGAAAAATTGATGAAAACAATTACCGAGCTAGATTTAACAATGGAACAAATTTTCAACGCAGATGAAAGTGGCCTTTATTGGAAAATGTTACCAGGAAAAACCTATGCTGCATCATTTGAAAAATCTGCCCCGGGAAGAAAGCCGGAGAAACAACGGATAACTGACTGTTCAAAAACCGCTTGGCTGACTAGCAGTATATTCCTGAAATGGTTGCACAGGTGCTTTGTCCCTCAGGTATGACAATCAATTATCACAAATGCTCTATTCATAATTTGAAGATGTGTTTTCAATTTGTAGGTAAAAGGTTTCCTAAAACAGCAGAAGCTTCCAATAAAAGCGTTGTTACTATTGGATAATGCACCAAGTCATCCTCCCGAGCAACAACTGAGGAGCAGGGATGGGTCAATTTTCGTCATGTACATGCCGCCCAACGTAACACCGTTAATTCAACCGATGGACCAGAATATAATAAGACTCACCAAACTATACTATAGGAAGTTTCTACTTTCGTCTGTCTTATCAAAGAATCCTGAAAACTTATCTGAAGCTTTAAAAAAAGTAACATTACGAGAAGCTGTTTTAGATTTACATATGGCCTGGAATGAACTTAACCAGCAAATTATTAAAAAATGTTGGAACAATCTCTTTTGTACCAATAATGAAGATGATGAAGAAGACGATGTCCCCTTAAGCGTAATTAGAGAACGTTTGCGATCCAATAATGATAATGTTAGTAGTGTGTCATTGGATGTTGTTGATTTATTGAAAACAGTGAATCCCAACATTGTACTCCTGCTGATATTAATTTTTGTAACGAAGATAAGCAGACGAATGGTGCTGATAAGGAGGAGGATATGTACAGTGAGGATGATGAGAACGATCCCATTGAAGTCAGAAGTGTAGTGACTGACGCGCAAGCTATACAAGTTTTTAACCAAGCTTTAGATTGGGCTGAAAAAAAAAAGTTTCATACACGGATATTTTAGTTCTTCGTAAATTACGGGCGCAGGCATTGGAAGACAATGCTAAGCGCAAATTTACGCAGACAAAAATTGATAATTATTTTTCTTCTAATTAAAAAAATACTTATCGCTGTTAGAATATTTGTTTATTTTGTTATACATAGAATGTATTAAACGTTTCTTTTAATAAATCAAATATTATATAAATCACGTTCGCTAATGTAAACATTTCGATAATGTGAACCACACTTGGATTAAATTAGTTTACATTATCGAGCGTCTGCTGTATTTCTGAGAAACATACATTTTTTCGATATCTTTTAACATCTGAGTCATCCGTGAGCTTATCTCTATGTGACATCTCTCCGACCTGGGCTTTGGTGTAGAAAATACTAATAAAATAGGAAAATGCGACAGATTACATACCTATAGTTTTGATATACTGCTCTATAGCACCTGCATAGTCTCCTTTGTCGCACAAGTGATCTCCATACTGTTTAAATATGGTCACCAAGCCATCAGAATCATATCCTTGTGACTTGGCGATCCGTATCGCAACGTCATAAAAATTCTTCTTGAATAAAAGAGACAATTTCGATTGCAGGTCTTTTTCATCTAAATGATGGAGTCTGTTTTCGTCGTCAAGGATGTAAAAGGCGCCCCACTCGCTTAGAATGGCTTTCGTTTTTGGCAAAGCCGCTAAAAATATTTAAAAAGCTCAGAGTCAACAGAAGTTCCTTGGATGAGGTTAAGCTGATGTCTTAAACCTCCTCAAATAAATGATTTGGAATAGCGAAAAAATAATTATTATCACCTGAAAAAACAATGAACTTGTTGTGAATATCAAGCACTGTGATAAGATGTCCTTCTGAACTGTTATTCTGGAGTTCACTTGACATAGTCGCGAGTAGCGCAGGTCTAGTTGTTTTTGAAATTATTATCAAATATGTCCTAAACCATTCTAGCATAACTTTTTCACCCTCCACTGCATAACAAGGGCCTCTACCATCAGTAGTATAACAATATATTGCCTAAAAAAAAATTCTTATTAGTGAAAACCGTTTTTCAAAACGCTGTCATAGAAGAAGTTATGGAAAGAGGTACTTACATCTTGTCGACCTATCATGAAATGACTCTCTTGAACAGAATCTGCTAAAACGCTGCATTGTTTGGCACAGCCAATATTATCTAACTGATACTACAAATAAAAAAAATTTCAATTAGAATTAAAGACTTCTTATGACTCAGTTGACCTACTTTAAAAAATATACTAAACAATTGAACATGATATGTTTGCTTTCCGTCACACAACAGTGTTTCATGCTTTTCAGTAATAATCAGTATGGTATAGGTCTAGTCATTTGGAAACAGATGAAGGAAACAGGAAAGCAAACAAGCAAATATGGGTTTATTAAAAACCTCATTGGTTTGATAACATAAACAGTATCCAGGTCTGCATGTGCATTGCAGAAATGTTGCCAAGCAACAGAGTAGGACCTACCTTTTGCTCCTTGTCCTTTTGTGTAATATTGTAAACGATCACAGAGGTTTCTGTTGCTACATACAAAAACATATTTGAGGAATTAGATTTGAAGGCTAAGCCTGTTACAACAGACCCAGATGTCTTTAAAATTTTCTGTTTCGAACTCCTGTCTCGTGTTATATCTCCTCTGAAATATAATCAATTAATGAGTTAATATACAATAAACTATAAAATATTGTAGTATACATTTAGTAGTTACAGTACAGATTGCTACTAAATTTATGAAAAGCAGCGATTTAATGAGGAATAATTAACAGAAAAAAACAAATATGTAGATAGAAGATTTTGAGCATTTTTATTATGGTAATGAGGGGTTCAGAAAATATAATATGTTCCATTTTTGTCTATTTGTCAACTTATTAAATAGAATCTAATGTTTTGTGAATTCCATATTATTGGGCAAGCAAAAGTTATTTAATGCCACTTAAAGCTCTTTCTATTATTTTGTTTGATCTTAAATTTTATTTATCCAGTAAGGTACATACAGATGATTATTTTCAACATGCAATTTCTGACTATAACAGACCATCAAACATAGGCATCAAAACAAATTAATGCCTAGCTATGAAGTGCTCTGATCTGGTTCACTGCAAATGACTACTCATGACTATCAGAAATGTATTGTTGGAAAGAACTGACAGATATTCTCCAAATCAAATCATCTAATCATGAGCACAATTTGTTCAGCAGCTGGAAATGTAAAACAGTTCCTGGCACCTAGTTTCTCTCTAGGTACACAAAAATATATGTATACAGGGTGTTTCAGTTTATTGTTGCATAACTTTAAGATTCGATAGAACTTTTAAAATTAATGCATAAAGTCTATATAAACATGGGTCGAAAAATTAGTGGCTTCCGAATTACTGGGTGTTTAAATTTAATTTCTAAAATAGTTTTTTTAAATATTTCGAACAATACGTAGTCGTGCCATAAGTTCTGTCCCATGATAATCTCATGATAAAAATGAAACAAGATAAGATATATTTATATGAAAGATATTATTTATTCGACAACATTTTTAGAATTCATAATCAAACAGTTTTATTCAAAATGTCCCCCCTTGGCCTTCACACACTGCTTCAATCTCGCGGGCCACTCATCTATCACTGCACGCACAGCTTCCAAAGGAATAGCTGCCGCTGATCGGATCAAATCCGCTTTCAGGGACTCGATATTACGGTGGGCTTTGGAGCAGGCCAACTGCTCTAGCAGGTCCCACAACTTGTAGTCTAAAGGATTGAGGTCCGGACTCCCTGAGGGCCAATCTTCCGCAGCAATGAACTCTGGCACATTGCTTTCCAGCCAGCGCTGCGTACTCTTAGCCTTGTGAGCGGGGGCGGAATCCTGCTGGTAGACCCAGTGTTGGTTGGCAAACAATGTACCACTTAAAGGCTTGACGATAGGATCCAGTATGTCGCTCTGATAGTTTGCCGCTTTTGTTTTCACGCCCTGTTTACAGAAATGGAGCTGAGTGACCCCTTCGTAGGACACCACCCACCAAACCATGACTGACGCAGGGTGGTGGCCTCTCTCAACTCTCGGAATGATCTCCGAAGCTTCCTGTGAACTCCTTGCATACACTTTGTCATTTTGTCGGTTGAATTTTTCTTCTATGGTGAAGATTTTCTCATCCGTGAACAAAATCTTTCGGAATCCCCCAGCTGCGTACCTCTCCAAGAGCTTCTTGGATCTTGTCGCCCTGATGTGTCGCAAGGTGGCCGTAAGTCGCTGGCCCGTACGTCTCCGGTAAGCCCCTAGCCCTAGGTCTTGTTTAATGATGCGCGACATCGTCCGGACAGGAATCTTCATTTCCCTGGATAGGATCTTCTGCTTCCGGAGTGGATTCCTTTGAATCCTGGCTTTTACGGCTTTGATGGCTGCTGGAGTCCTTACTTGACGAGGTCTTCCGCTTCTTGGCCTGTCATCAACAGAGGACGTCTCATTGTACCGCTGAATGGTCCTAGACACAAATTTACGCGATATTTGAAGGCCGCGTAAGAGTTCAAAAATCTGACTAGCACTGTGATTACACTTATGTAAAGCTATCACTGCAATACGGTTCTCTGCCTTGCCCCACTCCATCGTTATGCTTCGAGAGATCAATACAAACTGAGGTATATGTAATTACCCGAAAAGCGCTTAATCAACTGACACCACAATGTAAACAATCGGACAAGTATTAACAGGTCTACACTTGTTTGAAAACGAGGGACAGAACTTATGGCATGACTACGTATTTGATGTATAATAGTGAAAATTGGTATACAAGGGTTTTTTGGTACGACAAAACGAACCATGGGCATAGTTTTACTGTAGCCACTAGAGGGCGCTCTTTACTGTACCTGTAGTGTATTAAAATGACCGAAAAATTTTTCTTGGTGCAATTTTTTGCTTTTTGAATAACAAAACTGATTCTTCGTACTTTTCAACATAAAAAGCTCTCTTGTGAATTTTCGTTATAGTTAACCGTTTTTGAGATATTTCGATTTTTATGGTTGCAATTTTAATTATTTATGATAAAATAACGTTAAAAAGTCAGTATCTCGATAATTTTTAGAAGTAGGCTGTGCCTGCAAATATTTTTGAAATTGAAAGCAGAATAAGGTTAAACGTCAATTAGTTGACAGTTAGTTTTGTTGTCTGTTGAAACCTGAAACGTTTTTTTGCATTTGTGAATGCACGAAATTTAGTATCTTATACCTGTTTTTTTTTGTAAATTTTATAAAAATGCCATTTTTATTCTCCAATCAAGAGTTAGCGGATATTCATTTTGTGTATGGCTTTGCAAATGGAAACGCAGCAGAAGCAGCCAGAGAATGCGCACGAAGATTTCCAAACAGACGACATCCAACTCGCTCAGTATTTGCAAGAGTGCATCGCCATATACTTGAAAATGGTTTTGGAAATCTCCAAAGGGATCAAAACATAAATGTTCGTCAGCGCAGATTTACCCGTATGATTCTGCGTGAGTTTGATAGAGATCCGACCACAAGTGTTAGGAGAATTTCTGGTGCCTTGGGAATTTCAGCAAGCCATGTTCACCGTGTTCTTAGAAATGACCATAGTCGTCCTTACCATTTGCAACCTGTGCAAGGACTACAGCCAGGGGACGGAGAACGAAGAATCACATTTTGTCAGTGGATTCTTGATAGAAATGATAATAATAGGGAGTTTTTAAGTAACGTTTTATGGACCGATGAGTCATGCTTCACTAGACGTGGAGTGGTAAATTTTCATAATCAACATATTTGGTCGCATGAAAATCCGCATGCAGTTCGGGAAAGAAATTTTCAGCATGAATTTAGTGTTAACGTGTGGATTGGTATCTACCGTAATCGACTATTTGGGCCCTACCTTTTGCCTGCAAGGTTAAACGCTGCGACCTTCTTGGAATTTTTAAAGGCTGAACATGCAAATATGTGAGATGATGTTATGTTAGATTTAAGAAGATTGGCCTGGTTCCAGCTCATTATTCGAGAATAGGTAGAAACTGGTAGGCTGGACGAAAATTATCCAGAAAGATGGATCGGCCGTGGAGGACCAGTCGCCTGGCCTCCACGATCCCCTGACCTAAATCCATTAGATTTCTTTGTGTGGGGATTTCTAACAGAAAAAGTGTACCAGACTCCCGTAACCACAAGAGATATGCTAATAGACAGAATCAGGAATGCATGTGATGAAATAAGGCCTTATTTGAATAATGCTATACCACGTTCGATCATTCGTAGATGTGAATTGTGTATTGAACAATTGGGTTTACATTTCGAGCAACTACTTTAGATTTTGTATGTTTGTCCTAACTATCCAATAGCATTTTAGTTGTAAATAATTAATTTAATTTGTTAAAAATAATATTGGAAAATTAAACAAATTAATATTCTGTTTTTTTGTGTTTATTTGGAGTTAGGAATTACAGCTGTGTTTAAAAACACAATCTAAACGATCATCTTAATTACTTATAATGCCCAAATCGAAAATGTAAACAAAATATTATTTTCCCATAAATAATTAAAAATGCATCGAACCTTAAAAATCGAAATATCTCAAAAACGGCTAACTATAACGAAAACTCACAAGAGAGCTTTTTTATGCAGAAAAGTGCGAAGAATCAGTTTTTTTATTCAAAAAGCAAAAAATTGCACTAAGAAAAATTTTTCGGTCATTTTATTACACTACAGGTACAGTAGAGAGCGCCCTCTAGCGGCAACGGTAAAGATATGCCCATGGTTCGTTTTGTCGTACCAAAAAACCCTTGTATACCAATTTTCACTGTTAAACATCAAATATTGTTCGAAATAAAAAAACTATTTTAAAAAGTAAATTTAAACACCCTGTATTTCGGAAGCCTCGCATTTTTCGACCCATGTTTATATAGACTGTATGCATTAATTTTAAAAGTTCTATCGAATCTTAAAGTTATGCAACAATAAACTGAAACACCCTGTATATGAGATAACTGTAAGTCACAGTGTATTAACATGTTGACACTGATTTATTCCAGACTAACACTAAATACTTTCAACTTGTCACTCATAAGTTCTGTACTGAATTAAATTAGATTTTCCCAATGCAGAATGCATCAAAATACATATAATATTAATTTAATGATTAATAATGTCTGCCTGAAGATTTTAAAAAGTCACATATTTTGTGTTACTTAAAACTGGATCTTAACAGCTCAATAGATTTTTTCTACATATTGATGAAACAATATTGGTTACTAATAAACTAATATTATTTACCTGTAAAGAATTAGTGATCCTTCAATGAAACCTACTGCCATCAATTGTTGATTATCATGAACACACAAAGCACTAGCCTGGAGTGGTCTGTTACCAGGTAGAGCCCTAGTAATTCTATGGCAGTATGGACTACCATTCTTATCTTTTCTACTAGTATCCCATACCTTTATCAAGGGATTTATACCTGGCTCATCTTGCTAAAAGTGAAGAATGTTTGATGATAATACTGATAATTAATATTACCAATATAGTTTGACTACACTGAACTGGTTCAATCTTCCTGTGAAAACCATCACAATATCAGTTTGAAAGGATAAATAGAAATATTAGGAATATTATCTAGCATCAAGTATTGGTTTTTTAATCCTTGCTGTTTGGACTTTAATTTACATTAAAAAGCCTGACCATGGACGAGTTAAGGAAGTGCAAATGACATGAGAGCTGTACAAGTTGAAAATGATACAGCATAGTTTCTTATATATAGCTGTTACATAGCTGTTTTTCAACAAAGAAAGATCTTACCCCAATTGTAATAAGAAGAGGAGCATTCCTAAGCTGGAAAGTTAAATCTACACTCATTTCATACGCCCTAAAAGTAGTGACATGCCAGGATCTTGATATAATGTAAATCTGTCCCAAGGTATCACTTAAAATCAGATGACTGTTTCCACTGGACGTTGTTGAAACCCTATTATCCTGGAAATAATTTTTTGTTATTGCATATGCATTGGGGGTTATAATAAATGTACCATACCTTAAATAGTTCGGCGATTTTACCCTCGTCAACGTCTTTCTTTAAATCGAAGAAGGTGAATTTTCGCCACTAAAATAGAAATGCACGATCAAATACAAAAAGTTTATAGATATTGTCATATTTACTTCTAAAAAAGCCATATTGTGTACACAGCCTCCCTAAATATTGGGTAATGTCCTTATTGTTGGATTATTTTATAGGTTTATCAATAAAAACATAACCTAAAATAAGAATGACATTGACAGAAAATTGTTAGTAGCTCAGTGATGCCAAACTGAAAAACATGAATTCGGTATATAAAGTGGTTGAAATTCGGTAGAGTTAAGGATAAAATCGGTAGGGAAATGAAAAACTTTTTCTATTGGGCGTCCGTACACAGATACTCCTTTTAAACATATAATAAATGGGAAAAATGACATTTTGTTAATTTTGTTATTGCGCACAGACTACAGATGTAGGTATAGGATTTCTATAAATATAAAAAACAAAACAAAATTAAACTTCTTTAATCTTTACATAACAAAATATAACGTCCATACACACCATTAGGTTTCATGCATATGTAAAAGAGTCACAACTTAGAAAATCATTTTAATAGTTGTGTTTCAATATCCAGTCAGTTTCTTTCTTCGCTACCAGACTCTATCGTTTCTCAGTCAAAATATGATTTTTAAAATATTTTTCAATTCCAAACATTGTCAGTGGACTAAAGCTAAAAAATAATTTACATAGAGAATCGAGCTGACTGAATTTGGCACTAAATTCTACTATTGGAATATCGAAGCATTCCAATCGTCCGTTCCGTAATAATTCCCCCCGTGCACTTGAAACTTCATCACCTGACATTTCAATATAATATTCAATTCAAAACAGGCGCGCTTTGATGGTTTCCTTGTTGCTTGTACGCATAATATGTATGATTGGTGTATGGGGCATAAAAGTACACAGAATTCGTTTTTTTTTTAACTTTACTTTTGGTCCTGGATCCTGTTCGGTAAAAAAATCTGGAAATTCCTTAAAAAATCGTGGAAAACGAGGACGTTTTCTGTGTTTCGGTAGATAGACCCATTTCGGTAGAAATGCCGAAAAATCGGTAAGTTCGGCAACATTGAAGCAGCTTCTATGCATAGAACAAAAACGCTCAGAAGTTGTTTCGTGAGAAGCACTTACAGAAATACCGGGTGTTTTTAAAATGTACCTTCTAGATGGAGGCAAAATGCCATCGATTGCCGTTTGTAGCAATGTTGCAAAAATAATATTAAAATATTTAGAAAAACAACCTTTATAAATAATGGAGTTTACTCCGAAAATCACTTGCATTCTTAATGTTTTATTTTTCGTCAATTCCACGAATGTAGTAATATGAATTATTTTTTTTTATTTTTGGAAAATGTATTTGTGCATTTCGAATGGAATCAAGAAAAAAAGGGCAAAGTTTCATAAATTTTATTTTAATTTTAAAATACAGTCTTGCTAATTTTAAATAGCTACACAAAAAAATATGTTCTATACTAAAACCTTGATGGCTTGATATTGTATAATCATAACAAACATATAACAAATACCATGAAAAGGAAATAGATGTTCACAAAGTCTGTATTTTCAACTACATAGTTTCATATCACTTTTCTCGGAAAAATTTATATACATATGTCATATATGTAAAACAACGTGGCATGCCATATTCGTCACTTAAAGGTGGTATGGCATGACTATAAAGAAGACATTTTCTCAATTCAATCTTAGCTCAGGCTCCAGACATGTTTGAGGTAAAAAACACTGATATTTGGCCTGTTAATGCAAAGGCTGTGAATTTTTAGGCATAGATTTTCATAACACATATCAGAAAAAGAATATATCCCTAAAGCACCATGATCTCAAACCTAAAAATGTTTCTATCACACATCCAGTAAAAAGTAAGTAGATCAATAAAAGTCGTCGTGTTCAAATATCAGGAGATCATGACAGGATGTGTAAATCCTATTTGCCATAACATTTCAGCTCACTCTGTAATTTTCTGAGGCTTCAGTAAACAAAACTGGCTTTTGGAAAATGAAGGACTATTAATTGGTATCAACTGAATACTGCCCTAATTCATCCAAGAAATAAGACGAGTGAGAAAATGGTAGATTTGTCATGTCCACTGATTTACTGCCAAATTAACATTTTATTATAAGATATTACCAAAGAGTAGTTATACCAAGAGAACACACATCTGCATTATAGAAGGGGAGCCGACTGCACATTTTGTTTACATCATCGCATACTGGCATTTCTCTTTTGTTGCTAAAGTAAATCATGTAATACTCGGCATAGGGCCTAATAAATAGTTATGTGATAACTTACAGATTCTGTTTACATGGCGAAAGTGTGATTTATAACTTTATTGAATGAGAAACATATTTTGTAATCTACAACCGGAAGTTAAATAATACCCAGCATGGATAAATGTCAAAACAAAATTAAATTTCAACAAAAAATGCTCCAACTACGAGTAATGGACAAAGGATTATCTATTTGCAAACACGACATTTATGTCTGATCAAATAAGGACAGCACGTATTTAGACGCTATCAGCTGTTTTGTAGATGCCATGTTTTTGGTAACATCCCTTATCTCTCCTCTCTAATGTATTCACCTTGTCCGGCTTCTTTTGATATAACTACTCTTTTGTTATACAACATTTTCAACGCACTTATCACAACTAGGCATTATTTATATTTCAGGGATCACAAATACAAAACATCAGATATGTTGAACAGTTGATTAAATTTTAACTTATTGTTTAGAGAATTCTGGTCAAGAACCATCAAACAATCGGTAAAACTTCAAAAGAACTATAAATAATAACATGTACCGACTTTATAGCTGACAAGATTCAAAAAACCGATTAAAAATATGCACAACATGAGACACCTTGAGATTTTGATTATAGGGCGAAGTACACACGATGAATTCATGAAACTCGCACAGAATAAGTTTCAGTTAATCCAAAATGTGTCTAAGATCGAAACCATTTTATACCTAATCGTGAAACTATAACTCGAGAAGATAGCCTCACTGCGCTAGTCGGTAGTCTTCGAGGGTTTTATTTACAATATATTTAATATTTGTTTAACATATTTATTATATCAATTATACATAAGGCAAGAGCATTTATGGTGCAAGTGCAGCTTTTGCGTTTAAATTTCCCGGATAAAAGTCAATTTTGCTTCGATATCTCAAAATTCCCCATATCGGCGCAGGACACATAATTCTGACGGATCCGTCAACGCCAGGTAGACAGAGCCGAATTTTGTTTTGGTTTTTTTTACGTTACAGATTCATTTTGTACTTGCTAACAGCTCTTTTATTTTTTGCATACAAAAAACAAAACGCTATAAACAGGCTTTACCAGATTTACACCCGATTCATTATTGCCAACGTTGCAGACTAACACAAAAATGTCACTTGCTGATCAGGTGCTCACCTCAGTAGACGTCAAAGCGTGATGGATACTCGTGAATAGGGTATATGAATCATAAATCTAACATGTTCATCTCAACTATGTAAAAGAAAAGAGGTGATCTGCGGTAGGCTATTTGCTTATGACATGCGCGCGATATTTCACTCGCCACTTTCGTCCAGCAACAAGTTGGTTTTGTTTGAGACATCCGTCAATATCAAAGCAATATTTTGTGTTATCGTTCTGATTTTTGGTTAAGTACATATTGTTAAGTCTTTTTTCTAGTAGATGATATGTTTGCTTATGTTTTAAATAAAATAAGTGTTTGTTGATAGGCTGCACTTGCCCAGTAAGATTTTTTTTTGTACAGGGGCTAGATCGGTCCTTTATAAAGGAGGCAATTACCCTAAATATTTTTTAAAAATACTTCCTCTTTTTCAGAATTAAATTATAGTTCTCAGAGAGGCTCCGGATATTCTAAGGAGGTTTAAGGACTGCTGTAAATATAGTAAAAAGTGGACAAATGGGTATTTATATAGTTAGTTTGATATATCACATTCCCAAAAACACACTTTCGGTCCACGTAAACGGACGCAGAGGTCAGAAAAGTTCAACTTTCGGTAGAAAGACAGATCTCAGCTGTAACGAGACGTGTCTGGCAAATTGTATCCGCTATGCTAAATGGAGAAGTGAGGATTCGGGCTAACCAGAAAGGAATTGCTTGAGATAGTAGCAGATTACGTTGAGAGTAATAAAATTTAAAAGCACTTTAGAAATAATAATAATAATGTTAAGGGTCGTCACAAGCTTTCCATTAAAACACGTCTCAAAGCGTCGAATTTGCCCAAAAAAGAATGTTGATCTACGAATACTTCGATTAGAAAACACAATTAAAGAACTTGGACTAGAGAATAAGCCATCGGACATACGGAACCTCGACGAAAGCAGTTCCGACCCATCAAAAACCAAAATCGTGGGACAGCGGGGACTACCAACTACGCAGACAACAAGTGGGCCAGGAAAACAGAACACTACGGCGGTCATGCCATCCACTTAAGTGTGGAAGTTGTTAGAATTCCTATCGAAAACCAAATAACAATTTTAAAACTTCCTCCACACACTAGTCATATTTTACAACCTCTTGAAGTATTTTTAAATCGCTGAAAACTGGATAGGTTGCTAAACTAGTAGAATTTCAACGTAAGAACGTAGGAATTAAGATACCGAATAGCATTTTTTCGAAAATTACTGGCGCTTTATGGAGAGACACAAATCCGGAAATACTTCGAGGTGGTTGATTAAAGCTGTGATTTACCCGCTCAATGGAAACGTTGTAGCGACAGGTTTATTTGATCCAGTGGCTTTTACAAACTGGAAACAGTTACAAGTCAGTCAAGGTAGTTCTATGCATATCGACGCAATTCCCGATAAAGCCGGCCCATCAACGAATCAGATCTTGGATACTCAATCTGTGCCCTCTACGTCGGTTGTCATGTGTGAACAGCAAAACAGTGGTTTACAATTTACCTCTATTAGTTCTGAAGACCTTTTGCTTAACTCTGTTAAACGCGACCATATCTCTGTAAAACAAACAAGAAAGAGAATGTGTGCGGAAGCAGAAGTCATAACACAAAAAAATGTTGAGCATTTCAAGAAACAAAAAAAGAAAATGTATTAAAAAAGAAACGAAGTTTAAATAAGCATTTAATTGAATCATATAGATCGGAGGAAAGTGATGAGATGGAATCATTCAAAAGTGACCCTAGCAGTCAAGAGAATAGAGAAAGGCAAGGCTGCAAGGAAAATGAAATTTCAAAACTCATGAACGGTGACTATTTTGGCAAGAAGAAAACTTATAAATATGCTTGCCTTCGTAACAAATGTTTTAGACGATGAAGTAGAAGTAACCTGTCTAAAAAAATTGCAAAATAAATGTGAACATCGTTTGGATGAGAACGACATGTTCTGTTGCACAGTCAGATATTTTACTAAAACTGGAACAACCTAAGCTTGTTCCACACAGCAATTTCCAGAAATATCTATTTTCTAATGAAGTTGCGGTATTCGAAGTATCAGTAAAATATATACTTACTTAAAACAAAATATTTTAGATTAGTGTGGATGGATTAATAAAGACATTATTATTATTATTATTATTATTATTATTATTATTATTATTATTTGTAGAATATACAAAATTTGAAAAATTATATTTATCGTAAAACTTTTTGTTACTCAGCAATACAAGTACATAAGTAACAGTAAATTGTTAATGTTTAAATAAAAACAGGAGTTTTAGGCACCCAGAAAGCATTTTTTACAATTTCGAAAAAGTATTAGCCTCCCTTCAAGTTGATTACAATTACTTTTGACCGGGATAAACATTTTTTCTTGTCTAATTATCCTAATATAAAGATCATTACTCTTGCCCGGTTTTGATTTCTTAGCGAAAATAGCTATTATCATCAAAGAAATATTGCATTAGGAAACCGTTTTATTGAATTTATTTTATAATTTCCACCAAATAGCCTTTTTCTTCATTCGTATTCAGCGACAAGTCTGTGCCCATGATAATTTAAACAAATAAAGGTATTGCATTACTTTTCAACTTCCATTTATTTTGAGGTAATCTTGACTTTTTTCTTTTGAGCAGTAATCGTTTCCCACAAAACCCTACGAACATATCCTTGCTGTTTTACATTAAATCTGTATTTCTGATACACACAGAACCCCTTCTTTGCAAACATGCGTGTCCCTTCAAAAACTGAGGAAATGCCAATTCGATACGCTTGTGCTTTTCTCAGTGTTGTTGCCTGAAGAATCAACCGCCTCACAATACACCATACTTAAATGTTTAATTCATTGTTTTTAATTATATTTCACAAACCAGATAAACAAACTAATGAACTAATCACAAATTACGTGCGGAAGCGCCAGATAAAACTGAACGTTCGTCACCCGTCTCTGACGTGCAACTGGTGTAAAGACTTCAGACTATTCTAGAGTTTCTTATGACTATGGTGATTTTGAGCAGAAATTACTGTTCAACACTATTTCGAAGAATCGCTCTATGTTTAGTGAGTGTTTAGAGTATGTTGCTCTTTATGAAATGACTGCAAAGAAATTTGCATTTTACCATGTATCCGATTTCAATAGAAGAAGGACGTTATTGCTAGCGAAATTGGAATTTAGACTATTGTCCGAGCTACCTCGCCGAGTGGGAGTAACTCAGTTTACGGATTGAGCTCTACGACTGCGAGCATTTTACTATTTTGAACAACAGACATAAACATGAGCATGCTACCGTTATCCTGCTCATTGCTAACTGATTTTGATAAGAGACTCATCGATAAAATCTTTAGTCATGATGATGTCGACATAACTCCGTTATTCTTACTATACGAAGATAAAGATGGTTCACCTGACTTGGTCAAATACATTCAAGATAAATACAACGTTGATTTAGTTGCAAGATACAGAGAAAGTTTGTTTTTAGATGAAGAAGAAGATGAAAATACTGTGTTGTATGAAAGGAGAGATGTTTAGCACTCCCCTAGGCAAGGATGGAATACAAAACAAATGGTTAAGGCACAACTTAACCACAATTTTCCGATGTTTGCGTATGGTGTCAGCGCAGCCTAGGTTAAATAATTAGAGATAAGATTACCAAGTCATGATGATGTCGACATAACTCCGTTATTCTTACTATACGAAGATAAAGATGGTTCACCTGACTTGGTCAAATACATTCAAGATAAATACAACGTTGATTTAGTTGCAAGATACAGAGAAAGTTTGTTTTTAGATGAAGAAGAAGATGAAAATACTGAATATCAATATTATGCAGAATTTGTAACCAGTACTGCATTATTATTGTACTCGCTTCGGCGGTACATATACTAACGTGCACGTAGTGATCGCATGAGGGTGGATTTATCTTCTCGAGTAACAGTGTCACCATATCACATCTCAGTCACTAAAGATGAAAACGATATCAACGACGGTATTAACAGTTCAATCCGTTACGAATCTCAGAGGTCACTAGTGAAAGACATACAAAATTTTATCAATTCTGCATCGACAATAGACAATTTGAATTGCATGCTCTTAATATTTAAAATCTTACAGAACAGCTAAACTGTACTCAATATGATTCATTAGACTCTTTTGTATCAAAACAATTTCTTAAATATATTTGAAGATTATTAGAAACAGAATTTGTCTTATATATGTATGTAAAAAATATACTATATCTTTAAATTTAGTTTTCTTTACAAAATTTACACAAAAGTTATAATTATTTTACTTGAAGCATAACCTATATCCTTAAAAAATACATACATAAATTATTATTTTTAAACTAAAGTTTGTGAAAAATTACAAAAATACAATCAAGCATTTATAATACACTAAAATGGTAATAAATTACAGAGTGTAACAATTTTTATATTCTCGGGTTATTATAGCTCCGAGATTGGCATGATTTTTCAGATTACACCTGTATTCAAGAAAGTTTTGAAAGCGTGCAGATTTTACTGGGATGGATTGTAGATCATTCCAAGACAATTTTATCGAAACTAAGTTTCTATATACTTGAGTGTTTATTGAAATAATTGTACAGAAAAATATGGTCGATTGACAAAATACTCATATATTATAAAATTCAAAAATTTATCTATTTTTTCGAAGTAAATCGAGATTTACAGAGGACGGAAAATCTGCTACATCAAAACTGCATATTAGCTTCCGTGAAAATGAGACTTTTGAAACAGAAAAACTCTCAGAGAAGAAATGCCTTCAACAATCTTTTCCCATTTTGACATCCGAAAACCGTAAAATTTTGTTGCCCTGCCTTAATTTCCTAAGCATCGAGAGTAACATTACATTAAACCGTTCAACAAGCTACACTTGAAATGATGCACACAATCACATACTCCAGTTTAAATAGTTTACAATCGTACAAGACCCGAAAAGCTACTCACACGAATAATCACATAGAACCAAGTTACCAAGCTATCCACCATTAAGTTGTTTTTCTAACTTAACTTTAAGGGACATTCTTTCTTCTTTCAGTTCAGCTAATTCCTGACTAAGCTCCTGGCAGATCCTAAGGAGTACCGTATTTTCGTCTTGAAGCTGTTTGAATAATTGCCATTTTGCTTTGTCTTCGGCAGTTACAGGACTCTCTCTACCGCTTTTCGTCTGCGGTTTCCTGGAAGCGGGAGAGAAAATTAAACAGTGGTGTAATTCTAAAAATCTCATTTAGTATGTATCGAGGTCGCGGTGTTTTGAAATATTCCCAAAAAGTACCGAACTACTGAAACTACTAGCAAGAGGACGTAAGAATCTTTCTGTCGTCTTCATATTATGAAAATGTTTGACAAATCGTCAAATTTCCAACCCACTTGCGTATAAAATACTGATCGACCAGCCAAAGATTGCTAGGGACGAAAGGGGGAAATGCGATGAAAAAACCTTACCATTAGACGATTTTATATGGAGTCATAGGCGGAGATCGGAGAGACTTGAATTATTAATTGAATTTATATTTTATTACAACTGGTAGTATTAATATTTTTTTGCGATTCATAATGACGTGATACCAAACATACATTATAAGAAATAAATATACACAAACACTGAATATTGAGAACAAAATAAATATATTTTTTAGGCAACAAGTAATATTCCTATGTACGCATTATGATTGAACAGCAAAACAAATTATGCATTCTTCTAAAATAGAATACAACAAGTCAAAAATATCTGACTGAATAGAAAAATATAGGAAAACAAAAAGTAATTTCTTGATGAAATAACCCATAAACAACACATAGAATTAGACTTTCTACTGAGATACTAAAAGCCACAAACCAATAGTATAATAAATGAATATCTAAAAATTCTAAAAGGTAGCCAATCTAGTATAGTTTCAATCCTGATTAGAGTCATGATCACTGTCTGAGGAACTGTCATTGCTATCACTTTCACCTCCTATGTTGATTATTATTTCTTCCTGTATTTCTTGAATGAGACTGTCTTTTTCCCAATATTCATCTTCAATTTTTATAACATGTCCAATAACCTTTTGCCAGTCACTGGCACTTACTGAAGCGATGGCCTTATTAGAAATTTCATCTAGTTTTTTTATAGTAAATTCGCCGCTTGTATTATGGCTTCTAATGAAAAATTTTACTTGTGCCCAAATCATCTCTATGGGATTAAACTGACACATATAGGGTGGCGTTCGAAGTGGGGTGTGTCCGAAACTTCTTATTAAATTATCTATCTTATAATTTTTCTCATCAGATGGTGGCCTATGTAGACAAGCTATTTCATAAAGCTCCATTTTTTTAGCATTAGGATCATGCTCTATACCTTTTTTGCTCAACCACGTGATGATGTCTCTTTTTAGAGAAGATCTAGTTGGAGGCTTGTCTTCCAAAGCTGAATGGTAAGGTGCATTATCCATTATTATAATACTATTAGGAGGAATGTTAGGAAATAGTTTTTCAGTAAGCCACTTCGTGAAATTTTCTTGGTTCATTTGACCGTGATAATCACCAGTGGCACAGCCAGCCTTGAAAATGAGACAGGCTCCAGGAACAAAACCATCTTGCGAACCCGCATGAACAATTATAAGTCGTCCTGGAAATGAATAAATAGCCTCATTTTAGTGTTATTTTAAGTTTGCCAACACCTTTTTGAATCACTATGTATAAAAAACATATTTTTGAGAAAAAAATACTTGCAAGGGATTATGTATTCAATTAGACAAATTAAATGAGCACTTATTAAGAATATTCCAAAATTGAGAAAAATGTATAATAAGCAAAATCGAGGTGAAAGAAACTTTATTACCTGTAGAACTTATATTGCTCAGGACACCCATAATTTCTTCGCTTTGCCAGCATTTCTTGAAAGTGAGGTCATTATCAACCCAAGTTTCGTCCAAATAAATAATATGCCTTCCTTCTTCCCGGAACTTTTTAATAGACCTAAGATACTTGTATCGCCAATGTAAAATACTGGGTCTTTCCATTAGTAATTTCCTTTTGTTGTGGCATTTACGCCAGTAAAATCCTTTTGCTTTTAAAAGCAGCCTCAACGATTCTTTACCAAATGGAAATTCCATTTCTTCCTTCAGTTTGATTAGAAGTTTACTACAAGTAGGTACCACTTTAAAATCACAGTAAAATTTTTCTATCATTCTCCGAATAATGGAAAAATCGACTCCATCAATTTTTTGGATCACAGAAGGGCGTGATCTCTTTTTTCCGGGAGAAGCTAAAGGCTGTGTGGAGGTTGCATTTTGCCTGTCTTTATCTTCTTTTCTAATTTTACTTATAGTTCGTTCACTAACACCCGTATAATATGCCGCCCTTGCATTTCTAGCTACCAGTGGATAAACGAAAGTATTGTTAGCCGCTTCTGCATCGCAAGCACGTATCACGTTTGCTATTATTTCCCTTGCCTGGCTGTGAATAACTTTCCCATGCTTGAATTCCATTATCACCACTAAACAGTAAATTATATTTTCAAAGTATTTGCCAACTGCCTACGCCTATGGGAGTAGGTTTATAAATGACCGTGCCATCGGCACGTTATTCTAGTTTCAGATAAGATAAGAGTTTTGGACCAATCAGCGACCGGATGTTTACCTGCGGCCTGGGTTTTCCAGCTACATTGCCAAATTCAGCGGAACAATTCTATATCTTAAATATGTTAATATGTATGGACCGCATTTTATGTAGAACATCTGACAACTTCGCAATTTTTTGTCCGCATTCTTTCGGCTTGCAATCTTTCGCTGGTCCAACTATACTAGTTTTGTGATTTTCAAATGAGAACGGATCAATCAGTTTACTTGGCTATGATTTAGACTTTTTACCGGCAATGATGAAATGATAGCCAACCGAACGGCCCAGATGGTAGGAATAGCAAGTTACATAAGCACGTGCGTTATGGAAACGTTCAATTTGTGATATGGGACGTTGTATCAAGCAACAGCAACGGTTGTTTTGCAAAATTCCATCAGATAGTGGGACGTTTTAGCTGATCTCATATTATAAAGAAATTTAATTTTTGTTATATATATTGATATACCATAAATGCTCGCTAGGTTCCTGGAAAGAGAAAATCTCTCAATTTTATTTCAGTATAAGTACACTTTAAAAATTATAATAAGTTTCATTTTTGCCATAAACACATTGGTATATCACAGATGCTCGCTAGATTCCTGGAAAGAGCAATTCACCAGGATAACCTCCATACATACAGTGAAATCCAAATATCACTGACGACGACGTAACGTGTATGAGAGAGAAGTAGTAGTAGTAGAAAGATTAATTTAGCACATTTGGCTACATAAACAGAATAATTGTAAACAACTTAGAACTAGTAAATTCAAGCCATATGGTGTATGATGTAAATGCTGGGCAACCTGTAATTGTAGATTTAACAAGTGATTTCTCAATTTTACTTTAAATTTTGTCAAAGTTTTCTGGTCTTTTATCTCTGAGTATAATTTATTACATTCAATCAACCCTTGATGGAATACAGATTTGTAGCATATGTTATACTTTTTGGTCATTAAATGGAAGTCATCTTTATTTCTGGTATTATGTAAATGATGGTCGACATTTGATGATGTTAAATTAGTTAGACTTGATGGAAATATATTATTTTTTACTTTATAAATGAATATCATTACAAGATATTTGATAAAATTTTTCACATTGACCCATTTTAATTTACTAAGCATTTACCTAATTGGAGTATATTTATCTTTATTAAGTATTATTCTCATGCACTTATTTTATAAAATTTGCAGTCTTTCAAAAATGGAATTATTTGCTAAATATAGAATAGTCGAACAGTACAAGAAATTTGGAAGAATGATGGTATTATAGATAATTTTTCTGCTATATGAACTCAGACATCCAGAAACTCTCGATAAATATCCCACTTTACTACTAATCTTATTTATAACTTTTTCATAATGAATATCAAAAATTAATCGAGAGTCAACAAAAACCCCCAGGTATTTAAAATTTTCTACGAATTCAATATCTTCACCATCAATATTCAGTTGAACATTTGTACATTGTTTTTTCCCGTTTTACTTGTATTTAATGTTAGTTTGTTAGATGCTAACCATTTTGAGACAAGTTTCAAGTCTTCATTTATATAAGAGATACCAGTCTGAATATTTTTAGTACTTATATAAATCATAGTGTCATCGGCGAAAACCAAATTTTGCATTTTTTGACTATGGCAGGTAAATCATTTATGTATAAAATAAAAAGAAGTGGTCCCAGGATACTGCCCTATGGAACACCCAACGTATTTTCAATTTTTGATGAAATAGTGTCATTAACTTTTGTAACTTGCATGCTTTTAGACAAATAATTTCAATTTCAATTTACCTAACAAAATATCTCTATCAATCGTTTCAAATGCCCTCTTCAAATCCAAAAATACTGCTATGACAACTTCTCCTGAGTCTATGGCTCTTCACCAATTCTCAGTTACCAACTGGAAAGCCGTTTCTGTGGAATATTTTTTTCGAAAGCCTGCTTGCGCCTCCACTAAAATTTTGTTTTCTTCTATAAACTGCATTAATTGGTCATGCACTATGGACTCTAATAATTTTTCAATGTCTGGTAACACATTTACTGGTCTCTTATCGCTGCATCTTTTAGAATTTTTTATTTTGGGAACTGGTGTTATTGTAGAGCATTTCAAATTTTCAGGAAAACAACTGCTTCTCAGTGAACAATTTATCCAATTTAATACAGGATATCCCAAAATTTCGAAACAGTTTTTCAGCACGTTTTTAGTAGTGATTTCGGCACAGTTGTTATTTGATTTTAAACTGTTTACTTTTTTTCTTAGATAATTCAATGATACGTTGTGAAATTTTGAAAGTGTATGCAACATTTCCCGCTGGAAACTGATTTTCATATAGTCAGGTGCAGCATCGGCAATACCCACAATATCAACAATACTTTCCACAAAATATTCATGTAGTTTGTTTGCAATCACCAAAGAATTTGTTTCGGTACCGTTTTCGAATTAAACTTGATTTACACAATCATGCTGCTTCGAATTGATCAGTGTTTTTAAAGTCTTCCACATCTTTACACTGTCGCACTTGTTATTATCGATTTGTTTATCGTAGAATTTCCTTTTTTCTTCTCTAATTAGAAGCTCGAGAAGCATGCAGTATGTATGTTAGAGAGAGTGAGGCAATGGTAAAGCGACAAAGCCGCAACTGCGTCCGTCGCCTCGTCACTCAGGTTATTAGGCAACGTGGTGTTGATTTCTCTTGCTAACATATGTATTGCATGCTTCTCGAGATTCTCTCTCGTACACATTACGACGTCAGTACTATATAGATTTCTGTGTATACAGTATCTCAGGGAGTACAAATGGCAGGACTAACCTGGTGAGGATACTTTAATGGTGTTACCTGTACATATGGTGCATGCTGAGTGCGAATCGGAGGTAGGAAGTCAAGTGACAGAGCGAATCTCTTTGCTAGAGATGCATCATCAAGCCACTGTTGCCATTTATACTACCAATGACCGACTGGGTAATAATGGTGATAACTTACTGTACTTTACATTTAAAGAGTCAGAGTTATTTTATATTTACTGGTACTAATCCAATACATATATCTATAATATAAAGTGAACGATTTCTTAAAACAAATACATTTAAAAAAATACATAATACCCAACTGCAGTAACTAAAAAGAATGAAGATTTAGTTGTTTCGGCGCATGGCAGGGAAATTATGTAAAAAACCTAAAAAACGTCAAAAAAAACGACGAAATGTCATCTTGCAGACTAGGTGGTTTTTGGTGTGCAAATAGTTAATTCCACGTTTGCTCGCTATAATCGCTGTTCACTGACGATTAACCGACACGTACAGCTGCAAAACGAGTTCACAACAAGTGTACTCGTACAACAGCTAGTACTAGTGCTCTTTTGGAAAATCTGCGTTATGTCACAAAAACCCTACGAAATGTCAAAAAACGTCGAAAAGATACGTAATACCCGTGCGGGACACTGAACATTACCGTGCCAGACGCCTCCAATTTCAAAATCCACTGATCCGCTCCAGCTGTAGCGTCAAACAGACTTGAGATTTACTTAATTTTGAGAAAATTTTAATATTCCGTGTTATTTGCATTTCAAAACAAATCTAGATACACCAGCTATTTAAGCTGTAGCATGTGAAATGACAATTTCAAGTTGAAATTTTGATTTAAATTCTATCATTTTGATTTTATAAAATTTTCGCATTGCTAAGATGAATCCAACTACACCTCATATGTCACAATCCAACACGTCGTTTAGGTTTTTGACCTGAAAAACAAGGTTACAATCGCTTTAAAATAAACAAATCTCAAAATACTCTTCAAGGTCTTTTAGAGCAAGGTTTTAACTTTAGATACTTGGCCACTTCCAACATTATAATTTTTTGTCTGGAAATGTTTTATCTGTTTTTTTTGTTTTTTTTTATCATTCTGAACAAAAAAGGCTTCCATTAATTTTTCTCTAAAGCCGATCATTTACGAATTATAGGAAATTTAATGTCTGATCAGCCCTAACAATGTGTACATTCAACGCTCAAAAATCCGGTTAAAATTTATAATTTTTGAAGTCGTCAAGTATCTAACTTAAAGCTTAAGCTTTGCAATATAGAGTAGAGTATTTTGAGATTAGCTTATTTAACCTTGTCTGTTCAGAAAAAAATGGCGAACTTTTGGTTTTCGCAGACTGTACATACCTCCTTCTGAGGTCGGGAAAAAATAAAGCTGCTAAAATGAGTATCAGTCTCGTCATTTAATTTACAGACCTTGTACATTGCAATCACAGTTGATTATGGATACAGACCTCAAACTAATAGTATAGGATGTTGAAAAGATACCGTTGAGCCATAGGAAGTTGCATTAAATATTTAAAACATACCTGTAAATTTCGAAGGCTCCATGTTTCCTAGGTACTGCCTCGTCGCTGGGCTCTGGTACACAGAATTGTGCGAATAACTTTTTCCTTTCAGCTTCATAAATATCACCAGGAAAAATACCTTCTGTGACATTCTCGAACTGCTCAAAATTGGCAAATGGTGTTTCTGTTACAGCATCACCCTCAGACCTAAATAGGGTTAAAACAGAGTTTCGATAATTAGCCGTTTGGTTGTTATGCGGTGCACTTAGAGTTGGAAAATTCATTTACACGCGGCGTGTAATTATTATGAAAATGAACAATTTTTTCTAGTAACACATATACGACAGTCTACATTAAGATCATAACCGAGATGTTAGGTTGCTAAAAAATCTCCGTTATCAAACGTGACTGTATCTCAAACACAGGAAACGCGCGTCATGTAGATACACCGAGCAGTTTGTTTATAAATCGGATGTTACATTAGCGGACAAAAGTTTCTAAACAAATATTAACATTATTATGACTATTTCATATATCTAAATTAAAATTGTGAAGGAACAGGTAATATAAATATTGAAGTCTACCTTTGACTCCCGAACTAATACAAGGTTTATCTTACCAATATTCAAATTCTCTGAAAATGAAAACGCGTTTTTTTAAATATCGCTCTTTTTGTAAGGACAAAAGTATGGAAACATTTCAGATTTGCCGTATTTATTCGTTCTGCGATACTCTGATATTGCGTGCGGTAAATCCGTGAGAATGGCAAAAGGAATAGAATTTTCAAAAAAATTCAGAGACAAAGTAATTAAATCATTTATAACTGGTGTCAGAAATGTTAACATTTCTCAAAGATTAAAAATGAACAAAGGGACGACTTCGAAAATTATTAGTAAATATTAAGAATACGGATCAACAGCAACGCGGCCCAGGTGCGGAAGACGCAAAAAAAACCGCTTATGTTTTGGATCGCTACAATACACGTTTGTCCCATGAACATCCTCTAATGCACTGATACACTATTCACTAATTTTCAAAAGAATCGTATAGGACTCTTCCTGTCAGAACAGTGCAGAGACGCTCGGTGGATTTTGGGCTTTTTGGTAGGCGTACCAGTGCAAAAGCCTCTCATTTAAAAAAAATCGTATTACTCGGCTTGAATTTGCTAAAACTCATCTAACTTGGACAAAACAACAATGGAATACAGTTTTATGGAGCGATGAAAGCAAATTTAACTTGCTTGGATCTGACGGTACAGCATGTGTGAGACGTCTAATACGAAAAGATTCGACAAAAAGTATCAGTTGCCAACAGTGACGCACGGTGAAGGCAACATGATGGTTTGGGGCTGTTTTTCTAGTTCTGAAACGGGTTCAATTGTTAAAATTGTTGGGAAAATGGATCAAAAACTTTACAATGATATTCTCACATGCTCCCTTGTGCTGAAGAAGAAATGCCTTTACGATGGACATTCCAGCAAGATAATGACCCCAAGCTACCTCAAAATTCGTAAAGGATCGGTTAAGACTTGAAAACGTTAATATTCTTATATGGCCTTCGCAATCCCCGGACCTAAACCCTATAGAACATCTTTGGGAGCATGTTAAAAGACAACTTACAAGAAAAACTGTTAAAAATAGGAACGATTCAGTTGCTTATGTAAAAAATATTTGACATAATATTCCAACAGACGTCTATAAACAGGATTTTTTAAAACTTTTTTTAGAGTTATTGTATTTAATTTTGTAATAAAAAATATGTTTCCGTACTTTTGTCGTCTCATTTTTGTTCTTAAAACAATTTGAAGGTATTTTAATGCTAGTCTGTAGTACCACAGCAAACACAAATTCTCATTTGTATCCTCAAAACTGTAAGCAAACTATATGAGAACAAAAAATAGTCCTTAATAGCAAAGAATAAAAAATTAACGCACTTTTTAAGAATTACCAAGGATGTTTCGAAACTTTTGTCCGCTACTGTATAAAACTGAAAATGACACACTCATATAGCAATTACGAATTTGTCAATATGATGTTACTATATGGTGAGTAATTTTAAGATGCTGCAAAGGTTTCGCAAGTGTAGTCAGATCGCTTTCCTGGACGTTTTTCTTCAGCGCCGCGCAAGGTTATATCATACAAAGGCCAACGTTCATCGGCAACAATGTCGAGGTGGATACAGTAGAAGTATTGAACAACCCCTAAACAAATGTTACGAACACACTTGTGTTTTTGCAATCGAACGACGACAGCCAGGAACAATATTTAAAAGCATTGTGTGTCGCTGTGAACTAAATAAAATTTCCTATCAAATAAGCGTTTTTGTTTTCTTGATCGCTGCTGTTTTACTGCGTATTAGCGCAGTTGTTTCTGAAAAATTCAAGCTTCCATAACACTTTGCATAATTTAAGCTGATGAAGGCGTAGTATCATTAAAGTGAAACCTTGAGTTGCGATTTATTGATTATTTTCTCAGCTGTACAAAGCATTTCCTCCTTCGCTTACCTTTGATTGATAAGCTTCTTAGTCCCCTGAATATTCGGACTAACTCTCGGGGGCACCTGCGGTGGTCCCTGCGGCTTGCTCAACCTATTCAAATCCAATGACGAACTTCTACCGTGCGTCTTAAACGGCCTTGGCGGTGGAGGAGGCGGCTTCTCTTTCTTTGGGGGCGGGAATGCAGGTAGACTGACAGGCCCCTCCTCCAAAGGGGCGGAGTTAGTAGGTGGAGGAGGGATCGCGCCAGGGCCGGGAAGAGCGATCTTCTTCGGTTGCGGACGTTGAATGGCGCTGTTCTGTTGTTGCTGTTGTTGGGGGGTGAGGGAGAGGCTCTGCATGTTTTGGGTCGCCTGAAAAGGAAAAATAGCGATCTTTGGATGCTCCTAACATATGCTTTGTTATTGTAGGTAAAGAGTATGACATGCTCTTTCAGCTTGCACAGTTGTGCCGAGCTATAGTCGAAACATGCATGTCAACAACAAAATCGTGTGCATAGTGGATAATATGAATCATGTTGATGTAAATTTTTTGATTTCTCATACAATAACCCGACCTGATAGCGCTTAGCAAATAGAATGTTTTGACTACTCAAAAAAATCTCTGGAATTCATGCATTATCACGCAATTTTTTTTTGTTAATGCTTATGTACCGGTGACGCGGGATATGTCTCAGCTACGGTTAAACTTAGAGCCATCCGTTAAAAAATTTCATAACAAAGGTATCTAAGGGAAATTGCTGGAAATTATTTTCAGCTTCCTAAAATGGTCGCTAAGGGATGCATTTTCAATTTCAAAAATTCAAACGTCATTATTTAATTGCGTAATTAACGTACTGATTTAATAACTCTATTATGCTGACTGCTCAATTTTCGAACCTTTTTTTCAGTGTCTTTCCATATTTTCTTTGGTTTAGGGTAGGGGAAGGGTTGAATGTCATTTCAGATAAAAAAAATAAAACTTCTGTTTGGATGCACCAATTTTCACGATCTTGATATCATTCGGAAGAGCTTGCACCTGCACTTCTACTCAGGGCTCAATCTGGTCAAATTGTGTCACTTTGTAGCCACTAGATAGACTTTTACGGTTGTGTCACTGTTTTTTGTATCATCACGCAAATTTCAAATACAACGGTGCACTTTTTTAATATTGTTCGTAAAGACCATAAAAATGCTACTTAATGGCCGCCGACCAATATCTTCATTCGTTATAGAGATATAATGAAAAGTATGCTTAAATTATCATTTTCAATCACTACTTCATAAAAAGAAAAATTCAATCTATGTGTAGTTATGTAAAATGTCAGGATGAGACTACTTCAAGATATTTTACTTGGAAACTTATATTTACGCTTTTATAACACAGAAAATTCAAAAGTCAACTTGAAAACGACGCAACCTCAATGGTTTCAACATTTGCAGTAATTTATTTTAGTTTATTCTGTTGTTTCTGTTCTAGAATATCATAGCATGCAGATTTTATTAATACTGTCTTTTATTGGTATTTTGCATTCTTACAAGATATTACTACCCCAGGCGCAAAAAACTGAGTATTTCCGGAATTATTCGTATTTCAAAACCAACTGAGTTAAATTATGAGGTATAATAATTGAAGTGTCTTTTTTTATATATCTGGCGACACTATCGGTTATAGAAAGCGTAAAAATAAATTTCCAAGTAAAATATCTTGAACTCGTATCACACTGATAACTATTCATAGCTTGAATTTTTCTTTTTACCCAGTAGTACTTGAAAATTGTAATTCACGCACATTTTTCATAATATTCATAATAAAGATATTTATCTGCTCTGTTATGTTCTTTCCGAGCAATATTAAAAAAGCATACCGTTGTATTTAAAATTTTCGCATGAATTAAAAAAAAACGATGACACATCCATAAAACGCCCTGACGTGAACTAATCTGACAAAAAATATTCGAAAATTGAGCAATCAGGATAATACAGGTACTGAACCAGTATTTTTATTAAACAAATTTCAAATTGAAAATACGCCACATAGCGGCCAGTTTAGCAAGCTGAAAATAATTTCCAGTAATTTCCCTTGGTTACTTTTATTATGAAATTTTTTAACGGATGATTCTAGGTTAAGCTGTTGTCGAGGTAAAGCCAGCGTTCTTCATTATTGGGTGAGCTGGTGGTCAAACTGATCCCGGATAATTCTTTTTGAGAATGATCAGTTCAATATAACTAATGTTTTACTAAATAGATATACATTAAAATGCTGAAATAGATGTTCATTAAATTACCTGGGTAGTAGCTGAGTCCAGAAATTTCTTAGGACTATGCAAATCCATCGGATCTCCTCCAACATCATCAACATGATTATTTGCCGTCTCGGGAGTTAGCCTAAGCGGCACCGGATGCAGGATCTTAGAATCCTTGTCTAAGGTGACTTTTTGAAAGTCGAAATTCACAGGCTTTGGTCCAGGTGAAGACACCGAGCTGGTGGGACTGTCTACGAACTTCGTCCATTCCTTGGCTGTTTCTTTTGTTTGTGGAGATAGGATGGGTTCAGTTTCCGGACTTACAGATAGCGGAGTCTCATTGGTCGGCATTAAGCTTGCGGGTAGCGTTTCTGGCAACTCGATGTGATTCCTACAAAACATACTTTTTTAAGCAACATACGCTGTTTAATCTCTCACACTCTAAAATCGTCAAATCAGCTATTAGGTATTTTAAGGTGGTCTTTCCGAAAATGTGTTGATCTTTTCATTGAAAATAAAATGACTGAGTAGTTGAAAAAACCGAAATAAAATCGAGAAGAGACAAAATTAGAGCATACAAACTCTTTAGGAAAAAATCCTTACAAAACAAAGGCCGCGTCACGTATCACTTATCTGGGGTTAGGAGAAAAGTTTAATTTCGACATATAATTCTGTCTTTAATCTTCAAATCTAGCGAATCACCTAATCCAATTTATAGTGCTATAAAAGCTAGGAGACGACTAGATATTACAGTCTATTTTTGTTCTCATAAGGTTATAAATTATTGTTTTCGCGGATATCCTTGCCCTACCCCACTACAGACAAGCAGAGGGTAACCCAGGAACAAGTCATTAGTTGATAGTAGTTTGCTAATTTTCAAAACTAATGTGATTACTTTCTATTTTCCCCCGACTTTCCCAGAAGTGAGGATATGGTTTTTGCGCGTAGATGCCTCAGAAGGAGGGTTACGTTTTTTTCGCGTGACTATATGTATTTATACTAAGTGACATATAACACCCAGTTTAAATGGTTTTATTTTAATAAAAGTTGGTGAATGTATTTATCTTAATGTAAATAATAAGTGAAAAAATTTTCAGCCTTATCAGTTGGACATTCCGGTTTTTATACTGCTTTTTTTTAATTCACTAACGCTCTAAAAATGAATATTTCAGCCGCAGTAAAGAATCAACGTTGGCGGATTTTGGTTCTTGACATCCTTTACGATCGGTTACGATGCCTAGAGTACGGAGACGTGTACGATTTCGTCAACTTAGTGAGTTTGATAGGGGCCGTATAGTGGGACTTCGGGAAGCTGGACTTTCTTTTCGGGCAATTGCAGTTAGACTGCAAAGAAGTGTAGACACTGTGGTTAGGTGTTGTCAGGCATGGCTTCGAGAAGGCCGTACGCAAAGAGCAAGGGGCAGTGGACGCCGCCGTAGAACAACACACCGTGAAGATCGCCGCCTAAGATTATTGGCCTTAAGGGACCGTCTCTCCACTACCAGGTCCATTGCAAATGAATGGTTTGCAGAACACGGAAGACCTATTGGCATGCGAAGTGTTTACCGACGAATGAGGAGTTTTGGCTTGTTTTCATACCGGCCACACTGGGTCCTCCGTTTGACTCGAGAACACCGACGTAATCGCCTTGAGTGGTGCAGACAACGGTCACTCTGGGATCAGGAATGGAACAGTATTGTCTTTAGTGACGAGTCTCGATTTTGTTTAGGCATGCACGATGATCGTGCCAGGGTTAGAAGGCGACGTGGTGAAAGGAGGAATCCACAGTTTTTTGTTGAAAGACATGTTCATCACACTGTTGGAGTTATGGTTTGGGGTGCTATAGCTTATGGTTCCAGGTCACCTTTAATCTTCATCAGAGGTAACATGAACGCGCAGCGTTATATCCACGAAGTTCTAGAACCCCATCTTTTACTCTATCTTGACACCCTGGCAGATCCAACTTTCCAACAAGATAATGCCCGACCACATGTTGCAAGAGTCACAATAGACTTCTTTCAACATAATGATGTCACATTGTTACCATGGCCACCAAGATCTCCCGACTTATCCCCAATTGAGCACGTGTGGGATATGATGGGTAGGAGATTGCTCAATTTGCAACGTCCTCCTCAGACTCTAGAAGCACTTCGAGAGGAGTTGGTGGTTGCCTGGAATGAGATACCACAGGAGGACATTGACCACCTGATCAGAAGCATGCCTAGGCGCGTTGGAGAATGCGTAGCACATCAGGGTGCATCCACACATTATTAAAGGTCAAAGGGCTTTAAAGCAGTGCAATCATTTTGAAATTTTTATCATTTACCTATTATGCTTCATTAAGCACTTATACAAAATTTTATTAAAATAAAACCATTTAAACTGGGTGTTCGGATTTATATGTCACTTAGTATAGATGAGACATTCTATTTCGTGTGATACAGGTCTAACAGCTTGATGGATTTTGACATAGAGATTTCGTTGGATTCGCCTTAGCAGTGCAAGTGACAGTGGCTATATTAACATTTTATAAAAACAAAATGGCGGATTTTAATAAAAAATTTCAACCACAGACACAGACTGCACCTCAAACAGCTTGATGGATTTTGACACGAGTTGTCTCTAGATTTATCTTTTCGGTGCGCGTGATGGTGGGTATATTAAAATTTTACTATAGTCAAAATCACGAAAGATGACTATTACGTCATACCATAAATTGAACTGACGTACGTCGATGATAAAATCACGATGTCAGGAACACAATGACAACAAATATATTATGATTTTGTGAAGTTAGGTTATTTCACTGATTATTTTTATTTTCATTTTATTTCGTGGTTTTGGGTGATACCTTAATAATAATTTTAGGGGGGAGTTTTTGTTTAAAAAAACAGTTATGAGTAGAACCTTAAGACATGAACAACAAAGACCAAAGTATTATTCGAAAACAATCTAACCTGCTTTAACAAAACCTAACTATTCATCTTTCAAATATGATCGATCATGCAACATGAGAACATCGTCTATATTTGTCGGATACATGCAAATTAGCAATAGACAATAAAATTCTGTTTGTGTCTGTCTCACATATCTGAAACTTCATTAAAAATATTCACAAATCGCTGTCGTTTGTCTTGACTACAGACTAAAATGATGACGTAATCGTCATCTTTCGTGATTTCGACTATAATACCACTTTATCAGACCCAAATTTAGAATGGCGGACTTTGATCAAACATTTCAACTTTTTCTACAGGCTTGACGGATTTTGACATGCGGGGAAGTATTGTAATCGCAAAATTTTTCGAAAATGATATATTGTTTTTCAGATGTTATACGACACGTACATCAGGAAAAACGATGACACCATGTCATTCATTTCCGTCGCTCTGTCTGTCTGTCCGCTAATTTTATAACCGCCTATAAATTGAGAAGTACCGCTCGGATTACGATGACATTTTTATATAATGTTACCACTCTGTCAACGACGCAAAAGTTTTTTAGTTTTTGAAAATCGGTCCAGTGGTTTTTTGCAGTTTGATGATAATTTGACATTCAGTAAGCATTTTTGGTCATACTGAGATTCGCGAAGTTTCTGAGTAATTTTATGCCATAATTTTAGGTGACATGTTTTGCTTTCATGTGTAAAAAATCTTACCTTCTCAACACTACCAAATGCATGGCTGTCATAAATTCCCTAAGTGAAAGCGCACCATCTTTGGTGACATCAGCCAGCTGCCAAATCCTCCTGAGCTCATGCACGGGTAATCGCGACTTTTCGAAAAACATTCTAGCAACAGGACCCGCCAACAGTGCGTTGGTGTCCGGCTGCAGAGCACGAAACTGGTTCGTGTAGTATTCTTTCTGCTCAGAAGTGATTGTCCATACTTCATTGGATACTTCAGTATCTTCTTCGCTACTGTGCTTGTCTGAGGATTCCTCCTCCGTTCCTGTATATGAATAAAGGAGAGTTAGAACAGTCCTCTCCACTGTCCTTTTGCCATTTACTACATATTCACATTACTTAAAAAATAGAACTGTCAAACCTTGTGTGTTTGTTTGGGTAGTCTGCAGAACTAATGATCACAAGTCAGTGTCTAAGAAGGCTAGTTGAACCTATCAGACAGGTTTGCCCAGAGCCTACACTATATAATGAAAAAAGAAATATGGCAAGATGGAAAAGAAATAAAAAGAGGCTATTTGTATATCTTTACATATGATATTTACCTAACAGTTGGCGTTGTTCCTCAGAGACCAGACCTTGCCAAGCACCTGAAACTGCCCAACTTCTATCTTGTACACTATTTGTAGGTGTTGGACTATCAGATGCGGTGCTTGAGGCATCTGGTGAACCATTCCTGATGGTTTCACTATCTGCTTCTGAATCTGTGCTTGTCATGTCTAACTGTTGATTTGAAATTTCAATTGAAAAATGTCTGAGAAATATTAATTGGCATCAAGCAATCTAGATTCTTTGACTTGTAAGAGGTAGAAGCAAGTGTGGAAGTTAGTGAAGACATTCTTATAAGAATCTGTACATAAGTTCACATTATGTAGATACACATTACAAAACATAAAAATATATGTTGTCTGTAATACATTTTTTTAATAAGCCTTCATTCAAACAGGATATAAGATAATCATGGTTTTCTTGTTTCTAAACAGAATACTGAGAATGAAGAAAAATAATAGTTTTTAGGATCACTTCATTGCTTTGCATCTCAAACATAACAATTAAGAAGTGAGATTTTTTTCAACATCTAGTTAAAAATGGTTTTACTATATGCAAGATGCACTTTTACTTGTGGTACTTCTAAACTGGCTATTTTTTTACTGCCCAGATATACTGCTACACATCTTTGAAATTTCCAGCACATTTTCATATATTGCTGTCATATTTCGAAATTATTGGAATCATACATAATATCATGTAGTGTAAGTAATGTAAGGTGCTATGATGCATACAATTTCATCAACAAGCTATGTCTGCATATTGCAGATATACTAGAGATATACCATATACCCAGGCCATAAATATTGCTCAGTTAGATGCCCCATACTAGGATAGCATAATGTCTATAATAAGATAATACTGCTTCCAACTCATTTCACGCCGAATGCGACCTGATATTTGAAATGATGTGAAAAACATTAAAGAATATTGTTTCTCCGAATAGAAAGACTGAATTATCTACAATGGATTTTGAAGATGGGGTAGTGACAGAAAAAATATTTATAGCAGGAAGAATGAACATTTATTTTATATACAGTATAAATCAAATAGTGAAGATGATTGATGACTTTTATCCCATCTTATGTTCATTACAAGTTCATGATAATTCATCTATGAATCAATTTAGGACAATAAACATCAATAATCTAAGAAAAGCTATCTCAGAATTGAAATCTAATAAAAACCCTAGTGAGAATCTCTCAAAAAAATTGTTAATGAAATTACATTGCTATGGTTTTCAAAGTATTGAAGATTATACAAAATTATTTAGAAAATAGAAGTAAAAAACTAATGTTGGAAATATGTGAAGCATCCAAAATATGTCAGCAGGGGTGCCACAGGGGGAGTAAATTAGGGCTGTTACTATTTATTATTTAGAATACTGCAAAACTCAAACATTAAATAAATCAAATTGTATCTCAATTCACAAACATTTAGGTGACAATACGATTAGGCTCATGATTAATGATGAAAAAATTGAGGTAGTCAAAAAAAAAAAAATCATTCACATATCTGGGTATATACTGTGTTGATAGTAAACTACTGTTTCAAGAGCATTATGAATACATTATTTAGAAAATATCAAAAAAGACAAATAAGAGTTTCCCATAATATCAGCATGTATTCTTGTACTCTTTCCCATTTTTTAAGTTGTTTAACCATCTTGTTTGCAGCAAATGAAAACATATTTTCAAAACTACAAATAAAACTATGACAATCGTTTTAAAGAAAAACAAATATGCTAGGATTAACTCTATGTTATAAGAACTACAGTGGTTGAATCAAAAAAATTTCATATGTTATTTAGTTCCCATTTTCATATACAAATTAAAAAATCATTTATTATCACCACATTTAGAAAACTTCACAAAATTAAATAGTCATTATCATAACTGTGAAACTAGAGGCAGTATAAACTTTCATCTGTGAAATTATCCTAGTAGCACATAACTAGCAAGTATGTATTTCAAAAGAGAGTATTTGGATATAATACACTGAATAATGATATTAAACAGTGTTCCAATTTAAAACTGTAAAATCACTTTATGAATACTCAGAATGCATAGTGATGTAATTTTAATAGATAAGAATGTGAAATTACAGAAAAAAATAAAAAAAATGTGTAAACCAATAATTATACAAAACTGACATCATAGCATTAATGCTAAATAAATCTTCAACAAACAGAAGATAAAAAAGTAAGTAAATATATCCAGCAATGCGCCTGTAGTGACACGACAAACAAAACATGCAAAAAATAACTTTCACTCACTTGTTCTTTGTACTTGGTGAGGTCTGTTTGAAATTCTATAAAGTCAGGTATTGGACTTTTGTTTCCCTGATGAGTCCATGAAAACCTAGGCAGGGGTAGGTCAATTTTCAGCGTCACTAGATCGCTGTTTACAGGTATGTTGGCCAAATAAGCTGCCACTAGTTTTAGTGCAGAACAAAACTGCTTTCTGTTCAGATGTGTGCTACACTGATTCCAGCAGATTTCTGAAATCTATTAGACGGAGGATAACACTATCATTTTTTATGATGCTATAAAGTTATACGAACACAACAAACTTAAGTAAACATTTTAAACAGTGTGCAATTATTAAATTGATGCTCATTGATAAAACTACCTGTTTAAGCACATCCTCAGGTACATTGGCAGATTTTATCAATTCTACAGTTTTGGTCAATGAAGCTTTTCCAGTTTTATCATCATCACAACATACAAATACATCGGAAAAATATCTCTGTAGGGCATCTGACAGCTGTAAATCATCCATTTTCACAAATTTTTGACATTCGGTAAATTGGCATATTGACATTTACCATATGTTTGACATTTACAGTTATAGGGCCATCTCTTGGATAAATTTTTAAGCTTAGATATTAAGATCTTAAGAAGTTTACAGGAAACTTTACTTCTCTCATCTAGTGATCAAAAGCTTAAGTAGCTGTTTCGCCATCTACTGAGTACGTGTGAAAACTTTAGTAAAGGAAACTGTAAGGGCGTCACCTAGTGGTCAAAAGTTTGAGTAGCCGGTGCGCCACCTGCTGCGCAAAGTTTTAAGCAGTCATCAGATCGGGTATAGGAAACTTTAAATTTGCCATCTAGTAGTCGAAAGTTTAAGTTAATCAATACTTTTTTGATATGTGTAGGAAACTGGATGTTGGCCATCTTGTGGAATAAAGTAATAATTAAGGATTATGTCAGTCGGTAATCGGTATTACAGTTTTTTTTTACTAATGACTTCTGACTCTGACTCATGAGTTACTAATGAACTAATGATTTCAGAGTTCAAACAAATGAAATGGGGCTCTCTAAAGTTTATCTGCCTAACTACATATTCTGCTTTTGACAATCTTCTGAAATTTCAAATACTTGGATAAATTGTATTAATGTCGCGATATGAAATATATCTATAGTTTATAGAAGTCATTATTTGGTGGACTGGTAAAACTTTGCACAATGTACTTACAAACTACAAAAACATCGTTGAGGTTCAAACAAGGTGAGTTTATGTACACAAATATTTACACATTTTATATATCCAATGGACATTTCACTATAATTTACACGTACAATAAATTCCATTTTTAAATGATATAACTTCCACTCAGAGTGTCCAGGCTTTTTTGTTCCACCACTGATTGTTTTGAATCTGCGGATTGTAGTTCTGAAAAAGATAGATACAGGAGTATTTAATATTCATTATTGCTCCATAATATTACGCTTAATAGATACTAATAAAATTAAAATCAACAGAGCCCTCTGCTTATAGCCAGGAGACATCACAAAATTGAACAGTTTCATCTTTTCCATTTTCTGTCTTTAGTGTGCGACAGGGACGGACTAGCGGTTACTTGAGCTTAATTTTCAAACGAAAATTTCATAAAGGTAAAAATGTGTAAATATTGGAACAGCATGTTCGAGGGATAATCTGAAAAATGTGTTTTTGTTCATAGATGTAAATTGCATTTGCGCATGTATTTGTAAAATATTTTTTGATACCTTATCCATAAAATTATGTTCTTGAATGGACAATTTCGTTTAGATGGAAGCTATATGCCGGTCTTCGTCTAGTTTATCAATCATTCGCAAGAATAGAATTTGGCGATTTTTTTAACCGTTCTTTTTATTTTGAAGAACTACCATTTTCACGTGTATGTGTAATTATAATTAATTATTTAAACAAATGTTGTGGTCTATCAGATTTTAAAGGTAGGTGCTTTTAATTATCGCATACATTTTAAATTTTGTAAGCGTTTGTAATTTATGTGAAATTACATCAATTTTGCAGGATGTCTAACGGTTATTAAAAAAAACAAATTACAGTGGCGTGCTTAATAGATATATATCTCTATATGTAAGTACCAAACATGAAACATTCTTTATCTACCACCCAAATGCTAACAGGATTTTTTTACTCTTTTGAAAATCCTCTAGCGATGGAGGATCACACACTACGGTTGTTATGGTCACTGAGGCGGAAAGCAAACAGATCCAATTCAGCGTGCGTTTAGAAGCCGGTAGAATGGTGGTCTCTCGTTGCTCTCCTGAGTGGCGCCTAAGTATATGGTTTGTGAAACTTGTCCATTTCCTCGAAACGGATTGTCATTTAGCAATGCAGGGAAACCTTATGTAGTTTTCTGGGCACTGCAATACTGGGTTTTTCAGGATAGTTAAAAAAAATTGTTTTTATGGCCACACTAAAGTGAACCGTGGTAATTTGACAGGACTAACTAGTGACAACCATTATAGGTTGCTTTTTTATTTTGACGTGAAGTGAACGTTAAAATTTTGAAACCTTGTCAAGCTTCGGTATTTTTGTTATCATTAGTGCAAACCGATCAAGAAATGAATAGAACTACAAAACCACAGAATAAAATTACCACAAAACCAGCAGAATCAGGATAAAATGCTACCCTGCCAAATTGCATATACAGTACCGAGCAAAAGTAGAGAAACAAACCACATTACAAATAAAAATCCAAAAAAGCAAAACTGTACACTAAAGTTTTTTATGTATGACTACTTCAAGATAATGAAATGCTTACCTCTGTATACATTCTTTTTTTTCAATATTATAAGGTCGGTTCTTTGTTCAACGAGCAAAAGTAGAGAAACATTTTGTAAATATTTAGTCGTTGATTAGAATAGGTGTTATTTTTGAGTGTATTTGGTAAAGTGTATTCGTAGTTCAAAAACATGGCCAGAGGAATTACATTGAACTAAACAAGCAACCATAGCCAAACAGCTGAATTTAAGCCGATCGGTAATTTGTTAAACTATTAATCTGTTCCGTCTCAGAAAATCATTGGTAAGCCCTCCTAAGACTGGTAGACCGCGAAAAGCCACACCTAGGATTGATAGGAAAATTAAAACACTTGCTCTTAAAAATCCATTTACTACTGCTGTCGACATAAAAGCTCAACTTGAACAAGTAAATATTGGTGTCCACACTGTTTGAAGACGTTTAAGGGAGTGATTTACCAGCAAAGAGACCATCTAAAAAACTCTTTATTTCCAAGAAAAATCGGACCGCCCGTCTTCAATTTGCTTACGATCATTTGAAGTGGTCAGAAACAAGGTGGAATTCTGTATTATTTTCTGATGAAAGTAAATTTAATTTATTTTCATCGGATGGCATTTTATGGGTAAGACGGCCTAAAAACAAGCGATTTGATCCTAAGTTCACTTTGGGCACAATCAAATACGGAGGCGGAAAGGTTCAAAGTATGGGGTTGCTTCTGTGGTCTTCAAATGGGACCCATCGTCAAAATTGAAGGAATTATGGACCGGTACAAATACGTGGAAATATTAACTGATACCATGCTACCTTACGCAGAAGAAAACATGCCTCTACGCTGGCGGTTCCAGGACGACAACGACCCCAAGCACACAGCGAAAATAATAAAAACATTTCTTGAAGATCACAATATCAATGTCATTAAGTGGCCAGCTCAGAGTCCAGACCTTAACCCCGTAGAGAACCTATGGGATTTAGTTGATAAAAAAATTCGGACTGAACATACAGAAAAGTTCAAAAATAGTGCCGAACTATTTGAAACAATCGAAGTCGCCTGGAATTCTATTCCAAAAGAAACATTAGATAGCCTAATTGTTGCTATGAGAAAAAGATGTCTAGCAGTTATCAAAAATAAAGGTTATGCAACCAAGTATTAGCTTCTTTGTATACGACAATTGCTTTGTATATTATGTTTCTCTATTTTTGCTCGCTGTATTTTCTAATAATTATTGTTAGCATAGTTTTATTAAAGCAGAAATTTTATTTTCATGTTGGCTTTGAATTACATGTTACATTAAGTTATAATAAAACATTTGTTTAGTTTACTATAATAGTTTAATAAGATCTTTAAAAAAAAAAACAAAATGTTTCTCCACTTTTGCTGGGTACTGTGTGTATTACAAAGGTTCAGGACAATCCAATTCACCTACAACACTGCCTATTTCTTACATTTATTTTATCTGTGATCTAAAACTCATATTTTTATTTCAAGCAATCAGTGTATTGCAATTATTTTAATAAAACTTTCCAGCTCTACGAATTCCAGCAACGGCGATGAATAAGGAAATAACCTTGCGAAATGAGTTCTAACGGAGCTTCATATTTCGATAACGGGGAACGAATGATTTTCTGGCTATATTGCGCAAGCCCAGAATAAAAATGCACCAAAATAAGAGCCCTAAACACTCTCTATTTACTATACTTATTTGCTTTCTGTTGTCCGGTTCCAATAACTGGACCTATATCGCACTGATGATTGCAAATAGTACGAAACAACGTTGTATATACGGTTGGTTATAGTCACAGGGACAGAAAGCAAACATCACATTTTTTCATTGTTTTTGCTTTGCCAGAAAATGATCAGTTGTTTGGAATTTTGAAAATGCATGATTGATACTGACAGTCAATGAATGTACTTGTAAAAAGTTTTTTGATATTCTATCGTACATTAGGGCATCAGGAGAAGAGCAAAGAATGACTTATCTTACCAACTTCAGATGAATGTTTCTGGACGGAATGTTCACTTTTAGTCGTCGGCTGTATGTCCCTCTCATCGCCATCTCCTAGTGACTGTCTTCGGCGACGCCTTCCGCTGCGGCGCCGGCGTTTCTTATTTTTACTACGTCTGCCGCTCCTTCGACGACACACCGTGGGTCTGGGCATCGCAGATTTAACTTTGCGCAATTTGGCTGACTAAAAATCAATATTATCGATTATTTTCTTCTTCTCTATAGATACACGTGAATGTCTGTCCAGTTTGTCAGCAGTACGTCAATACCGAGAGACTTGAGTAGATCTACTAATTCTTACCCACGAAAGGTTATGATATATGATTTAATGGGCGATCTCATCGTCGATCGTGTAATCAACTGCTGCGGCAAGTAGCAAAATCTCCACCATCAGCGTCAAGGCGGAAAGAGCACGGCCTGCTAACCTGTGACCGTCAAGCGACGCAGACGTTTTATTTTACATGAGATTTTACCGCTTGAAACTGTTACTAACAGAAAAAATATTGTTCTTAAGCGATGTATAAAATTCGGATCACGTTTATATCTTTGATGGCATTAGTAAATTGACAGCGAGCTTGCATGCTTGGGAAATTTGGTTACTTTGTTTGTGGCTCCACCTGAACGTTTCGCGGGGCAAAAAGCTGGTACATCATAACTACACATTTCGGTTTCGGTCTACGATAATAGCAATGTTTGCTGTAGATTGTCACCAAACAGTAGTTATATCGTGGATGTCTTTACAATCCGCCAGTCTTCCTATTGACCTTTTTTGTTATGATACATCATCGCATACTGATACGATAAAACCTGGTCACAAACTCGGAAATTCAGCATCAAAGTATGTAATAGTTGAGTGGTTTTAACATTCCATATCAGTACGCGATGTAATCAAAACTTTGCGGTCGGCTCTTGGACTATTACTACTATGTGCGTTCTGGGTTACTGAAGCAGTGTTGCCAAGCTGCTATAAGATATTCATAAAACGCTACATCTATATTAAGCAGAATGTGGTTCAGCTCTTTTCACGTTTTTTGCAGGCTACGTCAAAAGGGTCATATGAAATAAAAAAACATATCGTCTTGAGGCCAGGCTGTCTAGATAACTCGCGGCCGACAATTGGTCAGATTTTCAATCTCTCTCTGAAAAATAATCACTTTCCATCTATTTGGAAGTTGTCTAGGGTAACTCCTGTTTTTAAAAAAGGTGAGAGGAATTATGTAGAAAACTATCGGGCTATCACAATTATCAGTAATTTCGCTAAAACATTCGAAATAGTGATACAAACTGTGCTATATTTTCATGTAAGAAAGTCTATCTCCGTCAGTCAACACGGTTTCATGAAGGGCAGGTCCACAGTTACTAACTTGCTACATCTTACTCAATATGTTTGTGAATCAATCGATAGACAACTTCAAACGGATGTAATATATACTGATTTCTCTAAAGCGTTTGATATAGTTTAGACCATAACATTCTACTCAATAAGTTATCTAGATTTGGTCTTTCAGATGAATTGTTGCTATTTTTCAGATCTTATTTATGTCATAGGAAACAATATGTTATGTGCAATGGACATAAGTCAAGCGAATACCCTGTAATGTTCGGTGTTCCTCAAGGATCTAATTTGGGACCTCTGTTATTTATTATGTTCATAAATGATATTTCTGAAGTTATCGATGTCGATTTTCTTATATATGCTGACGATATGAAACTTTTCTGTAGAGTCTCCAACATTGACGATTGTCATCGCTTGCAACGCAACATTGTAAGGGTTGACAACTGGTGTCGTGAAAACAGACTTGTTTTGAATGCCGCTAAGTGTCACGTTTTGTCGTTTACTTTAAAAACAGGGGTAATGATGTATGAATATAGTATTGGTGACAGGAAACTTGACAGACCTAGTACAATTAATGACTTGGGAGTCACATTTGACAGAAAACTTTCCTTCTCCTATCACATTGAAAATGCTGTTGTGACTACATCAAAGGCGTATGGTTTTATTGTAAGAAATACCGGTGATTTCCACAACTCATTTACACTTAAAATACTGTACTATGCTTATGTAAGATCTAAGCTTGAGTATGCGTCCCTGGTATGGTATCCTCATCATCAAATATATATTGACCGCTTAGAGTCCGTTCAAAGAAAGTTTTTAAAATACCTCTCATACAAAGCTGACGGTATATATCCCGCTATTGGCTTTCCTCATAGTGAGTTGATGGCGAGACACAAAATCTATGATTTAGAGAGCAGACGCAAAATGAATTCACTTAAGTTCATTCACAAGCTCATCCACGGAATTATTGACTCCAGTGTCATCTTAGAACAACTTAACTTCTTAATTCCTAGATTAGCGTCACGAACTAGTTTAACTTTTTACTTAGCCAGGCCTAGGACTGACATACTTAAGTTTTCCCCTATATATATAATGTGCCGTAATTATAACTCAGTTAATAGCATTTTAGATATATTTTCGTTTTGTGCGACTTTGGGAGACATTAATGCTTATTTTCGTTAATGCTTGCCGGTGTGATTGTTGAGCGCTTTTTTTTCCTCCCAGTTCTGTTTTGAGTTTTTTTTGCAGCGTTTTAGCTTTCTCTACATACATCCACAACATGCATTTGTTTATATTTTCATGTTTATCCATCCTGTAATTGGCTATGGCTGTTGGATGTTGCTAAATAAATAAATAAATAAATACATAAATAAATAAGCAGATAAGCAAAACTTTTGAATTTTAAGCTGACGTACTTCTTTTATTACTAAAGCAAAGTGAACAAAAAATGCGTTCACTACAAGTGATGGTCAATGAATTCATCCAAAAAGGATTAAACATCTGACAACAACGCATTCAGACTAGATGAGAACAGATGTGTTTAGAAGCATTAGCTGTTTTGAGGACGCCATGCTTTTGGAGTCACCTCTTATCGCTCTCTAATTTGATTCGCCTTGTCTGTCTTCTCTTTATATAACTACCCTTTGGTATCACTGGACATTTTTGTGTCAAACCAAATTTTAAAAGGTGGAAAACCATATACCTCTTCAAAGATGACGTTAATACTATTTGCGACCAATCTATTATACTTAAAAAATACCGCTTAAGAGTTGTATTGAGAAAGTATGATAAAATAAGAATGAATTCAAATGGAGAACCCTCTGTTATATTTATAATTAAATGACAGCCCGCACTCTGAGGCGAAGGGAAGCGCCGTGTCACATTTAGCTCATGCAAATGACAAAATGACAAATATTGCCACGGTTCCCTTAGCATCGTTACTTCTCGTGCGTGCTGGTTTACCTTCGGTGCTCTTCTAAGAGGCAGAGAACCCGTCTTCTTCAAAGACTTGTAGATGGTAAAGTCCTTTTGGTCTAAAGCCAGCCTATACTTGCCGCTACGTTGATTTATCAGACCTCTACTGACGCCATGTTGCAATGCCTTTTTCACTTGTATGGCAATGTTCCTTGGCTTCGGAGATAGGTTGGTCATAGTCACAGCCGTCTATGAATGAAGTCAAATTTGAATCATGATAAAGTTCAAGAAATAAGGATGATATGTGAGACGCTGTTACGAGGTTTGTTCCTTATTCTCCGCCACTTACCCCCTTTCAGATGCTTATTTGACGAATATTGTTGACAGTAAAACAAGTGATCTTAAAAATATTCTATGTTAGCAAAATATTATTGGCGACTGTTGGAGGGTATGAGTATTATGCAAACTTGATCTAAAAATTGGCAAATATTTTCAAATATAAACGTTGGAACACTTAACAGATTGAACATGTTTTATCAGGATAATGCGTCCTGTTGAATCTCCTACATTGCTATGTCTGCTCTACAGCAAGCAGGCTATGGATTAGTGGATATTGTTAACGAAATTGCATTGCTATGGATTTCAAGGTACAGTAATCAACTTATTACGAAATTATTTTATCAATAGAAGTCAAAGAACTAAAATTGGCAATACATTATCAAACATTAAAAACATTTCGGTAGGTGTGCCACAGGATAGCAAATTAGGTCCATTACTATTTATTTTATATATTAACGATATTCCTGATATTTTATAACACTGCAAAATTCAACTATTTGCTGATGACACATTAATATATATATATATATATCAAATAAAGACATCGAAACTGCAATAGAGTTATTAAATAATGATATGAAAAACGTAATAAATTGGTTAAATGTAAATCAACTTAAACTAAACACAAACAAAACAAAATATATGCTGATAGGAAAATCTTTAGATTAAAATACGATAAATCTTACAATTAATCATGAAAAAATTGTGTCAATCGAATCATTTAAATATTCGGGCATATACGTAGAGAGTAAATTAAAATTTGAAGGGTACTATGAATATATTATTTCGAAAATACCCAGGAAAATAAATTACTTTTTGCATAGCCTAAGCGTTTATTCTAAAAAAAATGTGTACAACAGTATCATTCTTCCTCATTTGTTATATTGTTCACTGAAAATGGAACTGTATTTTCAAAATTACAAATATTACAAAATAAAGCTATGAGAATCATCTTAAATAAAAATAAATATACAAGAATAAATTTTATGCTGAAAGAACTACAATTGTTAAATATCAAAAATTTCACAGCCTACTTGGTTTTCATTTTCATATTCAAGTTGAAAAATCATCTACCGAATCAATTAGAAACTTTTATTGTATTGAACAATGAGTGCCACAATTATTCTACTAGAGCAAGTATAGACTTTCGTTTACAAAATTGCAGTAGCAATATAACTGGCAAGTCGGTATTTCAAAAGGGATTATACGAATTTAATAAATTAAGTAAAGATATCAAGATGTGTGTCAGTTTGAAAATGTTCAAAGGGAAATTGAAAACATATCTCATGGAAAACCAGAATTCATAGTAATGAAATTTTGTATAAAAATATGTAGTCTTGAAGACATAATATATTTTGTGGTATACTGTGTAATATGGATATTATGGACATAGTAGCTTTAATGCTAAATAAATCTGAAACGAACAAACAAACAAACAAGGTTCGTCAGTCCTAGCTCCCTGTAATTCCATAATATTTCCAAAGTGAGCAACAACATGGGGTAGATGAGTGTTTTCCAGCGTTTGGGTAAAATGTGATAAGCTTTCATTTAAGAAAGGATTGAGTAGGAATATCATACGTATAGAACAAATATAGCTTTATTCCAAAGGGATCAGGGTTGAAGCATTGGAATCAGCCCCCCTAAATCGAGTCACTCTAGACTGGTGCTAAAACGGAAGATAACAGCAAAACACTTCGCACGCCCATGCCAGCGCGGCATCTTTTTGAGTTAAAAAAGTCGGCGCGCGGGTATCCCGCCATATTCAAAGAAGTGCCGCGTTCGCATGGGCGTGCGATGTGTTTTGCTGCTCTTTATAAAATGACTGTTTGGGGCCGCTTTCAAATTGTAACCAAACTTATCTGTATTTGAAAGAAACAAGATGTTATTAAAGAATCTAAAAAAAACTCAAGATGTGATTTTTGGTCGTTTCTAAGAAAAAAGTTAGAGGATGTCAAATCTTTTCTGCTAGTTTTAAAAATAAAAAGATTTTGAGAAACGGACGCCTTATAAATAATTCAAGCCATAACTTTAATTTTGCTCCACCATGTATTACTAATTGATTACCTGTATGTAATCTATAATCTTGTTCTGCGTAGATCCACGACTGTCTTTGAGATCTGCAATGGCCTGCATGACCCCAGGAAGGAAGCGGGGAGCTCTCTCATGTATATTCATCTTCAAAAAGTTTTCATTCAGCTATTGTTTGTTTTGCCTAAAATATCGTATTGTACTACTACCACAGTTACGCCAATTACTTATACGGAGATTATAAAAACGAAGAGATACAGACTATTCACTTTGCAAGAATGTCAATATCAAAAGAACGAACTTTGAACGATTTTTATGGTTTCGTTTTTGGTCTTTTTCTTCGCTGCCACTGGACGGATTCTCAAAAACTACATAGCTTTTTTGTCCTTGGCGTAATAGTAGCCGGGTGCGAAAATTTTATTCAAGTTATAGTGGTACTTTCCAAGTTATAGACGAGCCAAGGATTAACGGACAGATAGACACACCGACAGACAGACCAATCGACCGACAGATAGAGATACAAATGGACCGACAGACAGACCGATGGAAATTAGTGAGATGGTTTTTCGAAATGTACAAGTCATATAACATCAAAAAAACAATCTCATTTTCAATGTGATCTAATTCGGCAGCCAGAAAAATATTTATCAGCATAAAAACCACCAGGATATGTTTCAGAATTATTTTCTTGTATCGGCATTGATTAACGAATTATACCTGAAGATAGCCAACCATATACTGTATTGAGGCGCCCAACAAGGGGTGAGACAGAAGACAGATCTATGATAGATGGCGCTGGCATCTTTCAGATCCGCTTTTTGATGCGGGATGCAGTAAATGGTTGACTATCTTCGCTTCACCTCCGGCATAATATTTTAATATTTTTGTACAATCCAATTTTCTACCTTTCGTATGTGAATACTGGACAGTGCGTAATACAAACTCAAAGCTCAGTGGTAAATCTTCGAATTACATAATAAATGTCTAGCCCTCATGGCCATCGTTTGATTGAAATACCACGTTACTAATGTACAATTTTCTTAAGTGTAAGCTTGCTTACGATTTTGAGTATATTTGAAAAATAATGAATTACTACTGTACTATGAATATTGGCTTTTCGATACTCGTATAACGCGACTGTCAAAATCTGTAACTTTAAGTCATGACTAAATTTCAGTGAAAATGTTTTTAAATGATATGCCGCAATCACACCATTATTAACAACAAGGAATATTACATCTTGAAGGTGAGCTTTTGATGGGTCACTATATGAAACCTCAGTTGATTTTTTGTCTACTTCAATCTTCAGTAGACATACAGACCAAAGTAACTTACCCAGAAATTCACTAATGGAAGCCCAATATCCCCTGTCAATATTTTGAGGACCAAAATACGTTTTCAATGCAGTTTTATCGGCATTTTCACAATCACCAAGTTTGAAGACAACATAGCTTGACAGGCGTCAAACTGAAATAAGGTCTTCGAGGTATTTTGATTTTTTGTCGAATATCGTAGTCTCCTTTGTTGAGTACGCTCTATGAACTACTCTCTTATATTTTCATAAAATAAAAGTTGGTGGGAAACGTTATAATAGGTATCCAAAAATTCATTTAAATAGGAAACACATTTTTTTCTGTAGATCTTAGTTGTTTACTGAATCATAAAGTTACGCATATCAATGAAAATTTTACATATAAGACGTATATCACAGGTTCAGTATTTATTGTGGTCCGTATATACCAACGAATTTGAATACATAAGAACGAGTCAAGTCTATACGTTGGCAGTAGAGGCTATTCAAGTAGCTATTCGTACTGGGTGTACTGACGCAGAACAAGGCATAAATACTATCTGTGTTGGGATGTTATTAAACTGGGATAAATTAAATAAGGCCCAGAAATGAAAGTAAATATTTATTGTCGGTACAGCATTTGAACACTTCTGCTCAATTCGTGGTGAACAATACGAAACATTCTCTCCATCAAACAGCTACAATGGAGGAATAGCTGATATTGGAAAAAGTAGGACACCTTGCATGAATTTTAATTAGTTTTTCTAAACAGTTGTCGTGGTCCGAGCAGATTCTTGGCTAAAATCAAATCCTAGTTAAGCATAATGTGAAAATTTCTGATATTATGAATCAGTCACCATATTTATCCAATAAAAAATTGCAAGTACTTTAATAAATTTGATCTTCATAATTGTTTTTTGCTAGGCATACAATTCTGTTAACAAACCTTAAATTGAGACTGAGTGCTCAATGAAACAAGAAGTAAAATGAAGTGCATCAAAATTATACTTTATCTGAAGTCACTTGAAACACTGTGAAATACCGGGTGCGTTTTATATATCTATATTTAACACGCTCTGTTGCTGCAAAAATCGCTAAATTTCGCAGCAAATATCCCCCGTATAAGATCAAAGGCAGTTTCACCGGTCCACGTGGAGTAAAGCACGCCTATGCGTGGACATAGCCAATGAGAAAGCGTGTATTTCAGAGCTCCGAACAAGTGCAGGTGGCTACTGAAAATTGAAACAGTTTAGCCAGTGCCGTGTAGCGGTGAATAAACGTGTTTTCTTTAGTCTGTCCGTGTTTTTTCATAGATTTTATTAGTTTGTGTGTTTTTGACTTTTGAATACTCAGTTTACTTGTTGATTTAATTGTTGTGTTGATTGTTCTTGTGTGTCCTAAATATGGCTCTTTGGAGACCTTGGGAAAATGCTCCAAGCCACGAGGAGATGGTTGATGAACCTGTGCAGGCAGAATTCTTTCATAAAGATTTAGAGGAACAGACCCAAAGAGTAATCCTAAATATGTATGATTGTCTGAAAAACGAAAATCCAGATTCCTCGCAAAATCAAATTTTAAACAGAATTTGTATCCTGACAAAAATCAGTCGGTCTACCATTTATCGGGTTATAAAAAGGGGAGATGTAGTCAACCATTCCTTCCACAGAAAGCGCATAGGGCAAAAATTAAAAAGAATAGACGTGGGTTTTCAGAAAGATATTCGTCGTATAATATACGGATTTTATAAAGAAAATTTGATGCCCACGTTGGAAATGATACGGGATAAATTAAAAGATTATCCTGAAGATTTTTATAATTACAAATGCTTAGACTCACTGCACTGTATTGTAAACCTGTGTGGTTTTCAATACAAAAAATTAGATAAAAGAATGGTGATTATGGAGTCGTCTCAAATCGTTGAATTGCGCCAAGAATTTTTGCACAAAGTTAAAATCTATAGAGAGCAGAAAAGAAATCTGATTTACCTGGATGAAACGTGGTATGATACCCATGATGTTGTGCAGTAGGTACGGCTGGGTTGACGACAGCAACAAGTGCATTTTAAATGCACCATGCAACCGTGGAAAACGAATCATTATTCTCCATGCTGGCAGTGAAAATGGATTTATACCTAATGCCTTGCTGTTATCTGCCAAAAATATCAAAGAATCATGTGCCGACTATCATGAGGACATGACCTCCGACTTATTTGAAAAGTGGATAGAGCAGCAGTTAATACCAAACATTTCCCCAAATTCTGTGATTATTATGGACAATGCGCCATACCATTCCCGACAGAAAAACAAAATTCCGAATACAGGCACAAAAAAACAAGACATTATTGATTTTATGAAGGATAAGGGAATGGAAATACCACAAAAATCAACCAAAGCCATATTATTGGATCTTATTAAAAGACAAAAATTTTAAAAAGAGTATGTTGTTGACAATCTGCTTCAGCAAAATGGCCATGAAGTATTACGTCTACCTCCCTATTACTGCATTTTTAACCCGATTGAGTTGGTCTGGGCTGCTTTAAAAAAAAGTAAGAAAACATAATCAGACCCCTCAATTAAGTGAATCGCTATTGGCCACAATAAGAGATGCAGTATCTCATATTGCTGCCACAGACCTATGGAAGCAGTGTTCTAGGCATATTATTGAAAAAGAAAATGAATATTGTGTTTTGCCTCCTGTAAATCCCGTTGTAATTCCTCTACAAGATGACTCTAGCGACAGCTCCGAAGGCGAGGATGATATATAAATACCTATAATGTAAGTCTTTATATACCTTTTTATATATCTACCTGCTATGTAAATATTTGCCTATGTCAAACGTTGGAATTCTGTAATTTTTCCATTTCTTGACTTTCAGTCAACATAAATTAAACTCCCAATGTAAGTATTTTTTATCCCAAATCAAAAAAATAAGAAGATAGTAAAATCCATTTATTGTGATATAAAAACATTATTATTATCGTTCTAAATAAATGACCGCACGCCTATGATACGTCATGAAATTACAAAGGACGCGCCGACCAAAGGTTTTTATGCTATTTCAAGTGACTTCAGATAAAGTATACCTCAGACTGTTCAGGTAACTGATGTATACAGGGAAAACCAAATTTGTATAACGGCTTGAGTTGAATGTGTAAGAGAGAGAAGTTTGCATATTACTGTCAAACCCAAGAAGGAGGTCTGTTCGAACATTTAATATTTTGTTTTCATTTTGCGACAGCGCTGCAGTCGGAAAATGTAATAAATAACGTTACGCGGTACAAATTATATCACTACCTGTGTGTACGCAGGTGAAAGACATTTTGAAGCAGGACGACACTCCCCTACAAGCGCTAGATGGATACTGACCAACACAAAACATATACACTGAAGAACGTTTAATTCCATGCTATTCAATGGCAACACGGTGACTTGTGTGGTTGTCAGCGGCCATTTTTTAAGGGTGCGACATGGTTGCCGGACTGTGCATTAATATCCCGCAACATTGCCAGCTCTACATATAAATCTGAGATTGCTATACTTTTATATATGTATAGAAATTTGGTGGGATATGGGAGACCAGATAACAGCATGTGCTATTAACATTTTGCGCATCTTGACGAATAAGCGCCTTTTTGTATGTTAAAATATCAATAACATTTTTTATGTGTCAATAACACAAGCTGTTATAAGATCACTCTACTTGCTAATCTGGAAAGGGTCAAAAGAAAAACATTGCATATACCTAAATACATATTCATTATATAAATCTGACACATTTTTCTACAAACAAATCAGTGTTAAAATCATTATGGTCCAGATGTTTTCATTCCCCAGCCTTTGTTGGCACCTGCATAAACAAAAAATTAGGAAACAATTGAATTGTGTTGATATGTTACTACAATTTCAGATTTCTTTTTGATTAGAACAATAATATTATTGTCCATGGGTACCCACAGGAATTTTTCTCAGAGGTGCTGATCATCATCAAGAGATAACTTTTTGTGAAGTTGTACCTGCCCCCAAAATTTTTTGATGAGTAGAGGAAGCAATTTTCTCAGAAGGGGATAAATCCTAAAAAAAATTCTCAAAGTTGTACACAAACGCATGCTAAATATGCAAACATTAAAGTCAAAGCGGATTCCCAGAAGAGACCCTCTGACACCACCTTGTGGGCACCCATGTTATTGTTCAATAACAACATGTGGCTTCGATTTCATTGCAACTATAGTGACTTTTGCATATCAACCCTGCTGCTCTGAAAATAGCTGATTTAAAATGATGTATGGAAACTAATTTGGACAAAAAGCAGTACAAATCGTCACTGGTTATGGAGTCATATAAAAACTTAGAAATGTTATGGTCTGCAAAAATCTTTCAGAGCTGTGCCCTTTGGTTAGATCAAAAGTAATCTTCGAGCTTCTGATAGTTCTCAGGACCTCAAGGGTTGACAACGGCAGCTGTTGAACGGTAGCGCTCCACTGTTCAAAAAGTGATGTGGAGATACAAACAGGTACGGTCTTAAAATATTAAATTTCTCAAATGAGTAACCGCTGCATCTCTGATCTTCCTCAGGATCTGCCAGAAGCCTGACTACTGACTTGGACCACCTTAAAAAAGAAACAGTTTGAGGGTGCGACATGGTTGCCATATTGTGAACCAGCAACACTGCTTTGTTTCCCATTCGCACGTATGAGTTTCACCCCCTGGACCAATAATTAAATTACTTACACCCAGGCTACACGATCACTAAATATCACATTCCATGGGAAATATTGACGAATCATAGTAAATGTTGTCCATGTGATATTCGCCGATAATATACAAATGATTATAATGTTTACGTGACATTTTAATTTTCAAGTCGATAATTATAGTCCTAATAAATTTTACGTAGTTGAAAATCAAATTGTGCCACGGCCATATAGGGAGAATGTCTAATAAACCAACCTTGATCTTACATAAATCTGTAGCCTCGCGTCAACTTAGAGGCGTGTCAGTCTTGGCCATTATTTATTATTTTCCGACGCTATAATTTATAATATGCATCAATCGTATATATTGTGCAGTATCGAAACAGGTTTATATACTGAATAAAGAGGATGGTCGTGATAATCAATTGCAATAGGAAGAAGTATTTATAACCCAGAATAGCAATATAGTGGTACTAAACGGACCTACAGCCAATCTTAAGGAGTATCCAGGACAGAAAAATTCATAACAAGCTGAAATTTGATATGACGGGA